TGTGTTTGTTGAACTTGAGTTTTTTTGTCTTGTTTGAACTTGAGTTTGTGGTGTTTTTGACCTTGAGTTTTTGTGTTTGTTGAACTTGAGTTTGTTTCGTGTTTGAACTTGAGATTGTGGTGTTTTTTAACTTGAGTTAGTGTGTTTGTTGAACTTGAGTTTGTGTTGTGTTTGAACTTTAGTTTGTGGCGTTTGTTGAGCTTTATTTTGTGTCGTGTTTGAACTTGAGTTTGTGGTTTTTGTTGAACTTGAGTTTGTGTCGTGTTTGAACTTGAGTTTGTGTGTTTTTTGAACTTGAGTTTGTGTGGTTTTTGAACTTGAGTTTGTTTCGTGTTTGAACTTGAGTTTGTGGCGTTTGTTGAATTTGAGTTTGTGTCATGTTTGAACTTGAGTTTGTGGTGTTTTTAAACTTGAATTTGCGTGTTTGGTTAACTTGGGTTTTTGTGTTTTTTGAACTTAGGTTTCTGTTGTTTTTGAACTTGAGGTTGTGGAAATTGTTAAACTTGAGACTCAGTGTTGGTTGAACTTGAGCTTCTGTTGTTTTTGAACTTGAGGTTGTGGAAATTGTTAAACTTGAGAATTAGGTGTTGGTTGAACTTGAGTTTGTGTGTTTGTTGAACTTGAATTTGTGATGTTTTTGAACTTGAGGTTGTTGAAATTGTTAAACTTGAGAATTGGGTATTGGTTGAACTTTAGTTTGTGATTTTATTGAACCTGAGTTTGTTTCGTGTTTGAACTTGAGTTTGTGGCGTTTGTTGAATTTGAGTTTGTGTCATGTTTGAACTTGAGTTTGTGGTGTTTTTGAACTTGAATTTGCGTGTTTGGTTAACTTGGGTTTTTGTGTTTTTTGAACTTAGGTTTCTGTTGTTTTTGAACTTGAGGTTGTGGAAATTGTTAAACTTGAGACTCAGGTGTTGGTTGAACTTGAGTTTGTGTGTTTGTTGAACTTGAATTTGTGATGTTTTTGAACTTGAGGTTGTTGAAATTGTTAAACTTGAGAATCAGGTGTTGGTTGAACTTGAGATTGTGTGTTTTTTGAACTTGAGTTTGTATCGTGTTTTAACTTGAGATTGTGTCGTTTTTGAACTTGAGTTTGTGTGTTTGTTGAACTTGAGTTTGTGTTGTGTTTGAACTTGAGTTTGTGTCGTGTTTGTGAACTTGAGTTGCGTGTTTGGTGAACTTGAGTTTGTGTGTTTTCTGAACTTGAGTTTCTGTTGTTTTTGAACTTGAGGTTGTGGAAATTGTTAAACTTGAGAATCAGGTGTTGGTTGAACTTGAGTTTTTGTGTTCGTTGAACTTGAGTTTGTGTCGTGTTTTAACTTGAGATTGTGTCGTTTTTGAACTTGAGTTTGTGTGTTTGTTGAACTTGAGTTTGTGTTGTGTTTGAACTTGAGTCTGTGTCGTGTTTGAACTTGAGTTGCGTGTTTGGTGAACTTGAGTTTGTGTGTTTATTTGAACTTGAGTTTCTGTTGCTTTTGAACTTGAGGTATTGTTAAACTTGAATCAGGTGTTGGTTGAACTTGAGTTAGTCTGTTTGTTGAACTTGAGTTTTTTGTCGTGTTTGAACTTGAGTTTGTGGTGTTTTGAACTTCAGTTTGTGGTGTTTTTGAACTTAAGTTTGATGAACTTGAGTTTGTGGCAATTGTTGAACTTGAGTTTGTGTCGTGTTTGAACTTGAGTCTGTGTTGTTTTTGAACTTGAGGTTGTTGAATTGTTAAACATGAGAATCAGGGTTTGGTTGAACTTGAGTTTCTGTTGTTTTTGAACTTGAGGTTGTGGAAATTGTTAAAGTTGAGAATCAGGTGTTGGTTGAACTTGAGTTGCGTGTTTGGTGAACTTGAGTTTTTGTGTTTTTTGAACTTGAATTTCTGTTGTTTTTGAACTTGAGGTTCTGGAAAAAATTTTAAACTTGAGAATCAGGTGTTGGTTGAACTTGAGTTTCTGTTTTTGAACTTGAGGTTGTGGAAATTGTTAAACTTGAGAATCAGATTTTGGTTGAACTTGAGTTTGTGTCATTTTTGAACTTAAGTTTGTGTGTTTGTTGAACTTGAGTGTGTGTTGTGTTTTAATTTGAGTTGCGTGTTTGGTGAACTTGAGTTTGTGTTCTTTGAACTTGAGTTTCTATTGTTTTTTAACTTGAGGTTGTGGAAATTGTTAAACTTGAGAATCAGGTGTTGGTTGAACTTGAGTTAGTGTGTTTGTTGAACTTGAGTTTTTTTGTTGTGTTTGAACTTGAGTTTGTAGTGTTTTTGACCTTGAGTTTTTGTGTTTGTTGAACTTGAGTTTGTTTCGTGTTTGAACTTGAGATTGTGGTGTTTTTTAACTTGAGTTAGTGTGTTTGTTGAACTTGAGTTTGTGTTGTGTTTGAACTTTAGTTTGTGGCGTTTGTTGAGCTTTATTTTGTGTCGTGTTTGAACTTGAGTTTGTGGTTTTTGTTGAACTTGAGTTTGTGTCGTGTTTGAACTTGAGTTTGAGTGTTTTTTGAACTTGAGTTTGTGTGGTTTTTGAACTTGAGTTTGTTTCGTGTTTGAACTTGAGTTTGTGGCGTTTGTTGAATTTGAGTTTGTGTCATGTTTGAACTTGAGTTTGTGGTGTTTTTAAACTTGAATTTGCGTGTTTGGTTAACTTGGGTTTTTGTGTTTTTTGAACTTAGGTTTCTGTTGTTTTTGAACTTGAGGTTGTGGAAATTGTTAAACTTGAGACTCAGTGTTGGTTGAACTTGAGCTTCTGTTGTTTTTGAACTTGAGGTTGTGGAAATTGTTAAACTTGAGAATTAGGTGTTGGTTGAACTTGAGTTTGTGTGTTTGTTGAACTTGAATTTGTGATGTTTTTGAACTTGAGGTTGTTGAAATTGTTAAACTTGAGAATTGGGTATTGGTTGAACTTTAGTTTGTGATTTTATTGAACTTGAGTTTGTTTCGTGTTTGAACTTGAGTTTGTGGCGTTTGTTGAATTTGAGTTTGTGTCATGTTTGAACTTGAGTTTGTGGTGTTTTTGAACTTGAATTTGCGTGTTTGGTTAACTTGGGTTTTTGTGTTTTTTGAACTTAGGTTTCTGTTGTTTTTGAACTTGAGGTTGTGGAAATTGTTAAACTTGAGACTCAGGTGTTGGTTGAACTTGAGTTTGTGTGTTTGTTGAACTTGAATTTGTGATGTTTTTGAACTTGAGGTTGTTGAAATTGTTTAACATGAGAATCAGGTTTGGTTGAACTTGAGTTTCTGTTGTTTTTGAACTTGAGGTTGTGGAAATTGTTAAACTTGAGACTCAGGTGTTGGTTGAACTTGAGTTTGTGTGTTTGTTGAACTTGAATTTGTGATGTTTTTGAACTTGAGGTTGTTGAATTGTTTAACATGAGAATCAGGTTTGGTTGAACTTGAGTTTCTGTTGTTTTTGAACTTGAGGTTGTGGAAATTGTTAAAATTGAGAATCAGGTGTTGGTTGAACTTGAGTTGCGTGTTTGGTGAACTTGAGTTTTTGTGTTTTTTGAACTTGAATTTCTGTTGTTTTTGAACTTGAGGTTCTGGAAAAAATTTTAAACTTGAGAATCAGGTGTTGGTTGAACTTGAGTTTCTGTTTTTGAACTTGAGGTTGTGGAAATTGTTAAACTTGAGAATCAGATTTTGGTTGAACTTGAGTTTGTGTCATTTTTGAACTTAAGTTTGTGTGTTTGTTGAACTTGAGTTTGTGTTGTGTTTTAATTTGAGTTGCGTGTTTGGTGAACTTGAGTTTGTGTTCTTTGAACTTGAGTTTCTATTGTTTTTTAACTTGAGGTTGTGGACATTGTTAAACTTGAGAATCAGGTGTTGGTTGAACTTGAGTTAGTGTGTTTGTTGAACTTGAGTTTTTTTGTCTTGTTTGAACTTGAGTTTGTGGTGTTTTTGACCTTGAGTTTTTGTGTTTGTTGAACTTGAGTTTGTTTCGTGTTTGAACTTGAGATTGTGGTGTTTTTGAACTTGAGTTAGTGTGTTTGTTGAACTTGAGTTTGTGTTGTGTTTGAACTTTAGTTTGTGGCGTTTGTTGAGCTTGATTTTGTGTCGTGTTTGAACTTGAGTTTGTGGTTTTTGTTGAACTTGAGTTTGTGTCGTGTTTGAACTTGAGTTTGAGTGTTTTTTGAACTTGAGTTTGTGTGGTTTTTGAACTTGAGTTTGTTTCGTGTTTGAACTTGAGTTTGTGGCGTTTGTTGAATTTGAGTTTGTGTCATGTTTGAACTTGAGTTTGTGGTGTTTTTAAACTTGAATTTGCGTGTTTGGTTAACTTGGGTTTTTGTGTTTTTTGAACTTAGGTTTCTGTTGTTTTTGAACTTGAGGTTGTGGAAATTGTTAAACTTGAGACTCAGTGTTGGTTGAACTTGAGCTTCTGTTGTTTTTGAACTTGAGGTTGTGGAAATTGTTAACTTTGAGAATTAGGTGTTGGTTGAACTTGAGTTTGTGTGTTTGTTGAACTTGAATTTGTGATGTTTTTGAACTTGAGGTTGTTGAAATTGTTAAACTTGAGAATTGGGTATTGGTTGAACTTTAGTTTGTGATTTTATTGAACTTGAGTTTGTTTCGTGTTTGAACTTGAGTTTGTGGCGTTTGTTGAATTTGAGTTTGTGTCATGTTTGAACTTGAGTTTGTGGTGTTTTTGAACTTGAATTTGCGTGTTTGGTTAACTTGGGTTTTTGTGTTTTTTGAACTTAGGTTTCTGTTGTTTTTGAACTTGAGGTTGTGGAAATTGTTAAACTTGAGAATCAGGTGTTGGTTGAACTTGAGTTTGTGTGTTTGTTGAACTTGAATTTGTGATGTTTTTGAACTTGAGGTTGTTGAAATTGTTAAACTTGAGAATTGGGTATTGGTTGAACTTTAGTTTGTGATTTTATTGAACTTGAGTTTGGTTCGTGTTTTAACTTGAGTTTGTGATGTTTTTGAATTTGAGTTTGTGTGTTGGTTGAACTTGAGTTTGTGTTGTGTTTGAACTTGAGTTTGTGGTGTTTTTGAATTTAACGTTGTGGCAATTTTTAAACTTGAGATTTGGGAATTGGTTAAACTTGAGTTATTGTGTTTGTTGAACTTGAGTTTGTGTCGTGTTTGAACGTGAGATTGTGGTGTTTTTTAACTTGAGGTGGTTTCATTTTTGAACTTGAGTTTGTTGCGTTTGTTGAACTTGAGTTTGTGGTGTTTGTTGAACTTGAGTTTGTGGCATTTGTTGAACTTGAGTTTGTGTCGTGTTTGAACTTGAGTTTGTGTGTTTTTTGAACTTTGTTTTGTGTTTGAACTTGAGTTTGTGGTGTTTGTTGAACTTGAGTTTGTGTGGTGTTTGAACTTGAGTTTGTAGCGTGTTTGACCATGAGTTTGTGGTGTTTTTGAACTTGAGTTTTTTTGTTCGTTGAACTTGAGTTTGTTTTGTGTTTAAACTTGAGATTGTGGTGTTTTTGAACTTGAGTTAGTGTGTTTGTTGAACTTGAGTTTGTGTCGTGTTTGAACTTTAGTTTGTGGCATTTGTTGAGCTTGATTTTGTGTCGTGTTTGAACTTGAGTTTGTGTTTTTTGTTGAACTTGAGTTTGTGTCGTGTTTGAACTTGAGTTTGAGTGTTTTTTTAACTTGAGTTTGTGTGGTTTTTGAACTTGAGTTTGTTTCGTGTTTGAACTTGAGTTTGTGGCGTTTGTTGAATTTGAGTTTGTGTCATGTTTGAACTTGAGTTTGTGGTGTTTTTGAACTTGAATTTGCTTGTTTGGTTAACTTGAGATTTTGTGTTTTTTGAACTTAGGTTTCTGTTGTTTTTGAACTTGAGGTTGTGGAAATTGTTAAACTTGAGAATCAGGTGTTGGTTGAACTTGAGTTTGTGTGTTTGTTGAACTTGAGTTTGTGGTGTTTTTGAACTTGAGGTTGTTGAAATTGTTAAACTTGAGAATTGGGTATTGGTTGAACTTGAGTTTGTGAATTTGTTGAACTTGAGTTTGGTTCGTGTTTTAACTTGAGTTTGTGATGTTTTTGAATTTGAGTTTGTGTGTTGGTTGAACTTGAGTTTGTGTTGTGTTTGAACTTTAGTTTGTGGTGTTTTTGAACTTGAGTTTGTGTCGTGTTTGAACTTGAGGGTGTGGAATTTGTTTAACTTGAGAATCAGGTGTTGGATGAACTTAAGTTAGTGTTTGTTGAACTTGAGTTTTTGTCGTGTTGGAACGTCAGTTTGTGGTGTTTGTTGAACTTGAGTTTGTTTCATGTTTGAACTTCAGGTTGTGGAAATTGTTAAACTTGAGAATCAGGTGTTGGTTGAACTTGAGTTAGTGTGTTTGTTGAACTTGAGTTTTTTTGTCGTGTTTGAACTTGAGTTTGTGGTGTGTTTGACCATGAGTTTGTGGTGTTTTTGAACTTGAGTTTTTGCGTTTGTTGAACTTGAGTTTGTTTCATGTTTGAACTTGAGATTGTGATGTTTTTGAACTTGAGTTAGTGTGTTTGTTGAACTTGAGTCTGTGTTGTGTTTGAACTTTAGTTTGTGGCGTTTGTTGAGCTTGATTTTGTGTCATGTTTGAACTTGAGTTTGTGGTTTTTGTTGAACTTGAGTTTGTGTCGTGTTTGAACTTGAGTTTGTGGTGTTTTTTGAACTTGAGTTTGTGTGGTTTTTGAACTTGAGTTTGTTTCGTGTTTGAACTTGAGTTTGTGGCGTTTGTTGAATTTGAGTTTGTGTCATGTTTGAACTTGAGTTTGTGGTGTTTTTGAACTTGAATTTGGGTGTTTGGTTAACTTGGGTTTTTGTGTTTTTTGAACTTAGGTTTCTGTTGTTTTTGAACTTGAGGTTGTGGAAATTGTTAAACTTGAGACTCAGGTGTTGGTTGAACTTGAGTTTCTGTTGTTTTTGAACTTGAGGTTGTGGAAATTGTTAAACTTGAGAATTAGGTGTTGGTTGAACTTGAGTTTGTGTGTTTGTTGAACTTGAATTTGTGATGTTTTTGAACTTGAGGTTGTTGAAATTGTTAAACTTGAGAATTGGGTATTGGTTGAACTTTAGTTTGTGATTTTATTGAACTTGAGTTTGTTTCGTGTTTGAACTTGAGTTTGTGGCGTTTGTTGAATTTGAGTTTGTGTCATGTTTGAACTTGAGTTTGTGGTGTTTTTGAACTTGAATTTGCGTGTTTGGTTAACTTGGGTTTTTGTGTTTTTTGAACTTAGGTTTCTGTTGTTTTTGAACTTGAGGTTGTGGAAATTGTTAAACTTGAGACTCAGGTGTTGGTTGAACTTGAGTTTGTGTGTTTGTTGAACTTGAATTTGTGATGTTTTTGAACTTGAGGTTGTTGAAATTGTTAAACTTGAGAATTGAGTATTGGTTGAACTTTAGTTTGTGATTTTATTAAACTTGAGTTTGGTTCGTGTTTTAACTTGAGATTTGGGAATTGGTTGAACTTGAGTTATTGTGTTTGTTGAACTTGAGTTTGTGTTGTGTTTGAACTTGAGTTTGTGGTGTTTTTGAACTTAAGGTTGTGGCAATTTTTAAACTTGAGATTTGGGAATTGGTTGAACTTGAGTTATTGTGTTTGTTGAACTTGAGTTTGTGTCGTGTTTGAACGTGAGTTTGTGGTGTTTTTTAACTTGAGGTGGTTTCATGTTTGAACTTGAGTTTGTTGCGTTTGTTGAACTTGAGTTTGTGGTGTTTGTTGAACTTGAGTTTGTGGTTTTTGTTGAACTTGAGTTTGTGTCGTGTTTGAACTTGAGTTTGTGTGTTTTTTGAACTTTTGTTTGTTTTGTGTTTGAACTTGAGTTTGTGGTGTTTGTTGAACTTGAGTTTGTGTGGTGTTTGAACTTGAGTTTGTAGCGTGTTTGACCATGAGTTTGTGTTTTTTTTAACTTGAGTTTTTGTGTTCGTTGAACTTGAGTTTGTTTTGTGTTTGAACTTGAGATTGTGGTGTTTTTGAACTTGAGTTAGTGTGTTTGTTGAACTTGAGTTTGTGTCGTGTTTGAACTTTAGTTTGTGGCGTTTGTTGAGCTTGATTTTGTGTCGTATTTGAACTTGAGTTTGTGGTTTTTGTTGAACTTGAGTTTGTGTTGTGTTTGAACTTGAGTTTGTGTTGTGTTTGAACTTGAGTTTGTGGTGTTTTTGAACTTGAGTTTGTGTCGTGTTTGAACTTGAGGGTGTGAAATTTGTTTAACTAGAGAATTTGGTATTGTTGAACTTGAGTTTGTGGTGTTTTTGAACTTGAGTTTGTGGAGATTTTTGAACTTGAGAATCAGGTGTTGGATGAACTTAAGTTAGTGTTTGTTGAACTTGAGTTTTTGTCGTGTTGGAACGTGAGTTTGTGGTGTTTTTGAACTTGAGTTTGTTTCATGTTTGAACTTGAGTTTGTGGCGTTTGTTGAACTTAAGTTTGTGGCGTTTGTTGAACTTGAGTTAGTGTGTTTGTTGAACTTGAGTTTTTTTGTCGTGTTTGAACTTGAGTTCGTAGTGTGTTTGACCATGAGTTTGTAGTGTTTTTGAACTTGAGTTTTTGTGTTCGTTGAACTTGAGTTTGTTTCGTGTTTGATCTTGAGATTGTGGTGTTTTTGAACTTGAGTTAGTGTGTTTGTTGAACTTGAGTTTGTGTCGTGTTTGAACTTTAGTTTGTGGCGTTTGTTGAGCTTGATTTTGTGTCGTGTTTGAACTTGAGTTTGTGGCTTTTGTTGAACTTGAGTTTGTGTGTTTTTTGAACTTGAGTTTGTATGGTTTTTGAACTTGAGTTTGTTTCGTGTTTGAACTTGAGTTTGTGGCGTTTGTTGAATTTGAGTTTGTGTCATGTTTGAACTTGAGTTTGTGGTGTTTTTGAACTTGAATTTGCGTGTTTGGTTAACTTGAGTTTTTGTGTTTTTTGAACTTAGGTTTCTGTTGTTTTTGAACTTGAGGTTGTGGAAATTGTTAAACTTGAGAATCAGGTGTTGGTTGAACTTGAGTTTGTGTGTTTGTTGAACTTGAGTTTGTGGTGTTTTTGAACTTGAGGTTGTTGAAATTGTTAATCTTGAGAATTGGGTATTGGTTGAACTTGAGTTTGTGTCGTGTTTAAACGTGAGTTTGGTTCGTGTTTAAACTTGATTTTGTGATGTTTTTGAATTTGAGTTTGTGTGTTGGTTGAACTTGAGTTTGTGTTGTGTTTGAACTTGAGTTTGTGGTGTTTTTGAACTTGAGTTTGTGTGTTTGTTGAACTTGAGTTTGTGTTGTGTTCGAACTTGAGTTAGTGTGTTTGTTGAACTTGAGTTTTTTTGTCGTGTTTGAACTTGAGTTTGTAGTGTGTTTGACCATGAGTTTGTGGTGTTTTTGAACTTGAGTTTTTGTGTTCGTTGAACTTGAGTTTGTTTCGTGTTTGATCTTGAGATTGTGGTGTTTTTGAACTTGAGTTAGTGTGTTTGTTGAACTTGAGTTTGTGTCGTGTTTGAACTTTAGTTTGTGGCGTTTGTTGAGCTTGATTTTGTGTCGTGTTTGAACTTGTTTGTGGTATTTGTTGAACTTGAGTTTGTGTGTTTTTTGAACTTGAGTTTGTGTGGTTTTTGAACTTGAGTTTGTTTCGTGTTTGAACTTGAGTTTGTGGCGTTTGTTGAATTTGAGTTTGTGTCATGTTTCAACTTGAGTTTGTGGTGTTTTTGAATTTGAGTTTGTGTGTTGGTTGAACTTGAGTTTGTGTTGTGTTTGAACTTGAGTTTGTGGTGTTTTTGAACTTGAGTTTGTGTGTTTGTTGAACTTGAGTTTGTGTTGTGTTCGAACTTGAGTTTGTGGTGATTTTGAACTTGAGTTTGTGACGTGTTTGAACTTGAGTTTGTGGCGTTTTTGAACTTGAGTTTCTGTTGTTTTTGAACTTGAATTTGTGTCGTGTTTGAACTTGAGTTTGTGGCGTTTGTTGAACTTGAGTTTGTGGTTTTTGTTGAACTTGAGTTTGTTTCGTGTTTGAACTTGAGTTTGTGGCGTTTGTTGAATTTGAGTTTTTGTCATGTTTGAACTTGAGTTTTTGGTGTTTTTGAACTTGAATTTGCGTGTTTGGTTAACTTGAGTTTTTGTGTTTTTTGAACTTAGGTTTCTGTTGTTTTTGAACTTGAGGTTGTGGAAATTGTTAAACTTGAGAATCAGCTGTTGGTTGAACTTGAGTTTGTGTGTTTGTTGAACTTGAGTTTGTGGTGTTTTTGAACTTGAGGTTGTTGAAATTGTTAAACTTGAGAATTGGGTATTGGTTGAACTTGAGTTTGTGAATTAGTTGAACTTGAGTTTGGTTCGTGTTTAACTTGAGTTTGTGATTTTTTTGAATTTGAGTTTGTGTGTTGGTTGAACTTGAGTTTGTGTTGTGTTTGAACTTGAGTTTGTGGTGTTTTTGAAATTGAGTTTGTGTGGTGTTTGAACTTGAGGGTGTGGAATTTGTTTAACTAGAGAATTTGGTATTGGTTGAACTTGAGTTTGTGGTGTTTTTGAACTTGAGTTTGTGGAGATTGTTAAACTTGAGAATCAGGTGTTGGATGAACTTAAGTTAGTGTTTGTTGAACTTGAGTTTTTTTCGTGATGGAACGTGAGTTTGTGGTGTTTTTGAACTTGAGTTTGTTTCATGTTTGAACTTGAGTTTGTGGCGTTTGTTGAACTTTAGTTTGTGTCGTGTTTGATCTTGAGTTTGTGGTGTTTTTGAACTTGAGTTTTCTGGTTTTTTGAACTTGAGAGTGTGGGATTTGTTAAACTTGAGAATTGGGTATTGGTTTAACTTGAGTTTGTGTGTTTGTTGAACTTGAGTTTGTGTCGAGTTTGAACTTGAGTTTGTGGTGTTTTTTAACTTGATTTTGTGTGTTTGTTGAACTTGAATTTGTGTTTGAACTTGAGTTTGTGGTGTTTTTGAACTTGAGTTTGTGTCGTGTTTTAACTTGAGTTTGTGTGTTTGTTTAACTTGATTTTGTGTTGTGTTTGAACTTGAGTTTGTGGTGTTTTTGAACTTGAATTTGTGTCGTGTTTGAACTTGAGTTCGTTGCGTTTGTTGAACTTGAGTTCTTGGTGTTTTTGAACTTGAGGGTGTGGAATTTTTTAATCTTGAGAATTGGGTATTGGTTGAACTTGAGTTTGTGTTTTTGTTGAACTTGAGTTTGTGTCGAGTTTGAACTTGAGTTTGTGGTGTTTTTTAACTTGATTTTGTGTGTTTGTTGAACTTGAGTTTGTGTTTGAACTTGAGTTTGTGGTGTTTTTGAACTTCAGTTTGTGTCGTGTTTTAACTTGAATGTGTTTGTTTAACTTGAGTTTGTGATGTTTTTGAACTTGAATTTGTGTCGTGTTTGAACTTGAGTTTCTGGCGTTTGTTGAACTTTAGTTTGTGTCGTGTTTGATCTTGAGTTTGTGGTGTTTTTGAACTTGAGTTTTCTGGTTTTTTGAACTTGAGGGTGTGGAATTTGTTAAACTTGAGAATTGGGTATTGGTTTAACTTGAGTTTGTGTGTTTGTTGAACTTGATTTTGTGTCGAGTTTGAACTTGAGTTTGTGGTGTTTTTTAACTTGATTTTGTGTGTTTGTTGAACTTGAGTTTGTGTTTGAACTTGAGTTTGTGGCGTTTGTTGAACTTGAGTTAGTGTGTTTGTTGAACTTGAGTTTTTTTGTCGTGTTTGAACTTGAGTTTGTAGTGTGTTTGACCATGAGTTTGTGGTGTTTTTGAACTTGAGTTTGTTTCGTGTTTGAACTTGAGTTTGTGGCGTTTGTTGAATTTGAGTTTGTGTCATGTTTGAACTTGAGTTTGTGGTGTTTTTGAACTTGAATTTGCGTGTTTGGTTAACTTGGGTTTTTGTGTTTTTTGAACTGAGGTTTCTGTTGTTTTTGAACTTGAGGTTCTGGAAATTGTTAAACTTGAGACTCAGGTGTTGGTTGAACTTGAGTTTCTGTTGTTTTTGAACTTGAGGTTGTGGAAATTGTTAAACTTGATAATTAGGTGTTGGTTGACCTTGAGTTTGTGTGTTTGTTGAACTTGAATTTGTGATGTTTTTGAACTTGAGTTTGTGGCGTTTGTTGAGCTTGATTTTGTGTCGTGTTTGAACTTGAGTTTGTGATGTTTTTGAATTTGAGTTTGTGTGTTGGTTGAACTTGAGTTTGTGTTGTGTTTGAACTTGAGTTTGTGGTGTTTTTGAACTTAAGGTTGTGGCAATTTTTAAACTTGAGATTTGGGAATTGGTTGAACTTGAATTATTGTGTTTGTTGAACTTGAGTTTGTGTCGTGTTTGAACGTGAGTTTGTGGTGTTTTTTAACTTGAGGTGGTTTCATGTTTGAACTTGAGTTTGTTGCGTTTGTTGAACTTGAGTTTCTGGTGTTTGTTGAACTTGAGTTTGTGGTTTTTGTTGAACTTGAGTTTGTGTCGTGTTTGAACTTGAGTTTGTGTGTTTTTTGAACTTTTGTTTGTTTTGTGTTTGAACTTGAGTTTGTGGTGTTTGTTGAACTTGAATTTGTGTGGTGTTTGAACTTGAGTTTGTAGCGTGTTTGACCATGAGTTTGTGTTTTTTTTTAACTTGAGTTTTTGTGTTCGTTGAACTTGAGTTTGTGTTTGAACTTGAGTTTGTGGCGTTTGTTGAACTTGAGTTAGTGTGTTTGTTGAACTTGAGTTTTTTTGTCGTGTTTGAACTTGAGTTTGTAGTGTGTTTGACCATGAGTTTGTGGTGTTTTTGAACTTGAGTTTGTTTCGTGTTTGAACTTGAGTTTGTGGCGTTTGTTGAATTTGAGTTTGTGTCATGTTTGAACTTGAGTTTGTGGTGTTTTTGAACTTGAATTTGCGTGTTTGGTTAACTTGGGTTTTTGTGTTTTTTGAACTGAGGTTTCTGTTGTTTTTGAACTTGAGGTTGTGGAAATTGTTAAACTTGAGACTCAGGTGTTGGTTGAACTTGAGTTTCTGTTGTTTTTGAACTTGAGGTTGTGGAAATTGTTAAACTTGATAATTAGGTGTTGGTTGACCTTGAGTTTGTGTGTTTGTTGAACTTGAATTTGTGATGTTTTTGAACTTGAGTTTGTGGCGTTTGTTGAGCTTGATTTTGTGTCGTGTTTGAACTTGAGTTTGTGATGTTTTTGAATTTGAGTTTGTGTGTTGGTTGAACTTGAGTTTGTGTTGTGTTTGAACTTGAGTTTGTGGTGTTTTTGAATTTAAGGTTGTGGCAATTTTTAAACTTGAGATTTGGGAATTGGTTGAACTTGAGTTATTGTGTTTGTTGAACTTGAGTTTGTGTCGTGTTTGAACGTGAGTTTGTGGTGTTTTTTAACTTGAGGTGGTTTCATGTTTGAACTTGAGTTTGTTGCGTTTGTTGAACTTGAGTTTGTGGTGTTTGTTGAACTTGAGTTTGTGGTTTTTGTTGAACTTGAGTTTGTGTCGTGTTTGAACTTGAGTTTGTGTGTTTTTTGAACTTTTGTTTGTTTTGTGTTTGAACTTGAGTTTGTGGTGTTTGTTGAACTTGAGTTTGTGTGGTGTTTGAACTTGAGTTTGTAGCGTGTTTGACCATGAGTTTGTGTTTTTTTTTAACTTGAGTTTTTGTGTTCGTTGAACTTGAGTTTGTTTTGTGTTTGAACTTGAGATTGTGGTGTTTTTGAACTTGAGTTTGTGTGGTTTTTGAACTTGAGTTTGTGTCGTGTTTGAACTTTAGTTTGTGGCGTTTGTTGAGCTTGATTTTGTGTCGTATTTGAACTTGAGTTTGTGGTTTTTGTTGAACTTGAGTTTGTGTTGTGTTTGAACTTGAGTTTGTGTTGTGTTTGAACTTGAGTTTGTGGTGTTTTTGAACTTGAGTTTGTGTCGTGTTTGAACTTGAGGGTGTGGAATTTGTTTAACTAGAGAATTTGGTATTGGTTGAACTTGAGTTTGTGGTGTTTTTGAACTTGAGTTTGTGGAGATTGTTGAACTTGAGAATCAGGTGTTGGATGAACTTAAGTTAGTGTTTGTTGAACTTGAGTTTTTGTCGTGTTGGAACGTGAGTTTGTGGTGTTTTTGAACTTGAGTTTGTTTCATGTTTGAACTTGAGTTTGTGGCGTTTGTTGAACTTAAGTTTGTGGCGTTTGTTGAACTTGAGTTAGTGTGTTTGTTGAACTTGAGTTTTTTTGTCGTGTTTGAACTTGAGTTCGTAGTGTGTTTGACCATGAGTTTGTAGTGTTTTTGAACTTGAGTTTTTGTGTTCGTTGAACTTGAGTTTGTTTCGTGTTTGATCTTGAGATTGTGGTGTTTTTGAACTTGAGTTAGTGTGTTTGTTGAACTTGAGTGTGTCGTGTTTGAACTTTAGTTTGTGGCGTTTGTTGAGCTTGATTTTGTGTCGTGTTTGAACTTGTTTGTGGTATTTGTTGAACTTGAGTTTGTGTGTTTTTTGAACTTGAGTTTGTGTGGTTTTTGAACTTGAGTTTGTTTCGTGTTTGAACTTGAGTTTGTGGCGTTTGTTGAATTTGAGTTTGTGTCATGTTTCAACTTGAGTTTGTGGTGTTATTGAACTTGAGTTTGTGTTGTGTTTGAACTTGAGTTTGTGTTGTGTTTGAACTTGAGTTTGTGGTGTTTTTGAACTTGAGTTTGTGTCGTGTTTGAACTTGAGGGTGTGGAATTTGTTTAACTAGAGAATTTGGTATTGGTTGAACTTGAGTTTGTGGTGTTTTTGAACTTGAGTTTGTGGAGATTGTTGAACTTGAGAATCAGGTGTTGGATGAACTTAAGTTAGTGTTTGTTGAACTTGAGTTTTTGTCGTGTTGGAACGTGAGTTTGTGGTGTTTTTGAACTTGAGTTTGTTTCATGTTTGAACTTGAGTTTGTGGCGTTTGTTGAACTTAAGTTTGTGGCGTTTGTTGAACTTGAGTTAGTGTGTTTGTTGAACTTGAGTTTTTTTGTCGTGTTTGAACTTGAGTTCGTAGTGTGTTTGACCATGAGTTTGTAGTGTTTTTGAACTTGAGTTTTTGTGTTCGTTGAACTTGAGTTTGTTTCGTGTTTGAACTTGAGATTGTGGTGTTTTTGAACTTGAGTTAGTGTGATTGTTGAGCTTGAGTTTGTGTCGTGTTTGAACTTGAGTTTGTGGTTTTTTTTGAACTTTAGTTTGTGTCGTGTTTGAACTTGAGTTTGTGGCTTTTGTTGAACTTGAGTTTGTGTGTTTTTTGAACTTGAGTTTGTGTGGTTTTTGAACTTGAGTTTGTTTCGTGTTTGAACTTGAGTTTGTGGCGTTTGTTGAATTTGAGTTTGTGTCATGTTTGAACTTGAGTTTGTGGTGTTTTTGAACTTGAGTTTGTGTGTTGGTTGAACTTGAGTTTGTGTTGTGTTTGAACTTGAGTTTGTGGTGTTTTCTAACTTGAGTTTGAGTGTTTGTTGAACTTGAGTTTGTGTTGTGTTGAACTTGAGTTTGTGGTGATTTTGAACTTGAGTTTGTGACGTGTTTGAACTTGAGTTTGTGGCGTTTTTGAACTTGAGTTTCTGTTGTTTTTGAACTTGAATTTGTGTCGTGTTTGAACTTGAGTTTGTGGCGTTTGTTGAACTTGAGTTTGTGGTTTTTGTTGAACTTGAGTTTGTTTCGTGTTTGAACTTGAGTTTGTGGCGTTTGTTGAATTTGAGTTTTTGTCATGTTTGAACTTGAGGTTTTGGTGTTTTTGAACTTGAATTTGCGTGTTTGGTTAACTTGAGTTTTTGTGTTTTTTGAACTTAGGTTTCTGTTGTTTTTGAACTTGAGGTTGTGGAAATTGTTAAACTTGAGAATCAGCTGTTGGTTGAACTTGAGTTTGTGTGTTTGTTGAACTTGAGTTTGTGGTGTTTTTGAACTTGAGGTTGTTGAAATTGTTAAACTTGAGAATTGGGTATTGGTTGAACTTGAGTTTGTGAATTAGTTGAACTTGAGTTTGGTTCGTGTTTAACTTGAGTTTGTGATGTTTTTGAATTTGAGTTTTTGTGTTGGTTGAACTTGAGTTTGTGTTGTGTTTGAACTTGAGTTTGTGGTGTTTTTGAACTTGAGTTTGTGTAGTGTTTGAACTTGAGGGTGTGGAATTTGTTTAACTAGAGAATTTGGTATTGGTTGAACTTGAGTTTGTGGTGTTTTTGAACTTGAGTTTGTGGAGATTGTTAAACTTGAGAATCAGGTGTTGGATGAACTTAAGTTAGTGTTTGTTGAACTTGAGTTTTTGTCGTGATGGAACGTGAGTTTGTGGTGTTTTTGAACTTGAGTTTGTTTCATGTTTGAACTTGAGTTTGTGGCGTTTGTTGAACTTTAGTTTGTGTCGTGTTTGATCTTGAGTTTGTGGTGTTTTTGAACTTGAGTTTTCTGGTTTTTTGAACTTGAGAGTGTGGGATTTGTTAAACTTGAGAATTGGGTATTGGTTTAACTTGAGTTTGTGTGTTTGTTGAACTTGAGTTTGTGTCGAGTTTGAACTTGAGTTTGTGGTGTTTTTTAACTTGATTTTGTGTGTTTGTTGAACTTGAATTTGTGTTTGAACTTGAGTTTGTGGTGTTTTTGAACTTGAGTTTGTGTCGTGTTTTAACTTGAGTTTGTGTGTTTGTTTAACTTGATTTTGTGTTGTGTTTGAACTTGAGTTTGTGGTGTTTTTGAACTTGAATTTGTGTCGTGTTTGAACTTGAGTTCGTTGCGTTTGTTGAACTTGAGTTCTTGGTGTTTTTGAACTTGAGGGTGTGGAATTTTTTAATCTTGAGAATTGGGTATTGGTTGAACTTGAGTTTGTGTTTTTGTTGAACTTGAGTTTGTGTCGAGTTTGAACTTGAGTTTGTGGTGTTTTTTAACTTGATTTTGTGTGTTTGTTGAACTTGAGTTTGTGTTTGAACTTGAGTTTGTGGTGTTTTTGAACTTCAGTTTGTGTCGTGTTTTAACTTGAATGTGTTTGTTTAACTTGAGTTTGTGTTGTGTTTGAACTTGAGTTTGTGGCGTTTGTTGAACTTGAGTTTCTGTTGTTTTTGAACTTGAATTTGTGTCGTGTTTGAACTTGAGTTTCTGGCGTTTGTTGAACTTTAGTTTGTGTCGTGTTTGATCTTGAGTTTGTGGTGTTTTTGAACTTGAGTTTTCTGGTTTTTTTAACTTGAGGGTGTGGAATTTGTTAAACTTGAGAATTGGGTATTGGTTTAACTTGAGTTTGTGTGTTTGTTGAACTTGAGTTTGTGTCGAGTTTGAACTTGAGTTTGTGGTGTTTTTTAACTTGATTTTGTGTGTTTGTTGAACTTGAGTTTGTGTTTGAACTTGAGTTTGTGGCGTTTGTTGAACTTGAGTTAGTGTGTTTGTTGAACTTGAGTTTTTTTGTCGTGTTTGAACTTGAGTTTGTAGTGTGTTTGACCATGAGTTTGTGGTGTTTTTGAACTTGAGTTTGTTTCGTGTTTGAACTTGAGTTTGTGGCTTTTGTTGAATTTGAGTTTGTGTCATGTTTGAACTTGAGTTTGTGGTGTTTTTGAACTTGAATTTGCGTGTTTGGTTAACTTGGGTTTTTGTGTTTTTTGAACTGAGGTTTCTGTTGTTTTTGAACTTGAGGTTCTGGAAATTGTTAAACTTGAGACTCAGGTGTTGGTTGAACTTGAGTTTCTGTTGTTTTTGAACTTGAGGTTGTGGAAATTGTTAAACTTGATAATTAGGTGTTGGTTGAACTTGAGTTTGTGTGTTTGTTGAACTTGAATTTGTGATGTTTTTGAACTTGAGTTTGTGGCGTTTGTTAACTTGATTTTGTGTCGTGTTTGAACTTGAGTTTGTGATGTTTTTGAATTTGAGTTTGTGTGTTGGTTGAACTTGAGTTTGTGTTGTGTTTGAACTTGAGTTTGTGGTGTTTTTGAACTTAAGGTTGTGGCAATTTTTAAACTTGAGATTTGGGAATTGGTTGAACTTGAATTATTGTGTTTGTTGAACTTGAGTTTGTGTCGTGTTTGAACGTGAGTTTGTGGTGTTTTTTAACTTGAGGTGGTTTCATGTTTGAACTTGAGTTTGTTGCGTTTGTTGAACTTGAGTTTCTGGTGTTTGTTGAACTTGAGTTTGTGGTTTTTGTTGAACTTGAGTTTGTGTCGTGTTTGAACTTGAGTTTGTGTGTTTTTTGAACTTTTGTTTGTTTTGTGTTTGAACTTGAGTTTGTGGTGTTTGTTGAACTTGAATTTGTGTGGTGTTTGAACTTGAGTTTGTAGCGTGTTTGACCATGAGTTTGTGTTTTTTTTTAACTTGAGTTTTTGTGTTCCTTGAACTTGAGTTTGTGTTTGAACTTGAGTTTGTGGCGTTTGTTGAACTTGAGTTAGTGTGTTTGTTGAACTTGAGTTTTTTTGTCGTGTTTGAACTTGAGTTTGTAGTGTGTTTGAACTTGAGTTTGTGGTGTTTTTGAACTTGAGTTTGTTTCGTGTTTGAACTTGAGTTTGTGGCGTTTGTTGAATTTGAGTTTGTGTCATGTTTGAACTTGAGTTTGTGGTGTTTTTGAACTTGAATTTGCGTGTTTGGTTAACTTGAGTTTTTGTGTTTTTTGAACTTGAGTTTCTGTTGTTTTTGAACTTGAGGTTGTGGAAATTGTTAAACTTGAGACTCAGGTGTTGGTTGAACTTGAGTTTCTGTTGTTTTTGAACTTGAGGTTGTGGAAATTGTTAAACTTGATAATTAGGTGTTGGTTGACCTTGAGTTTGTGTGTTTGTTGAACTTGAATTTGTGATGTTTTTGAACTTGAGTTTGTGGCGTTTGTTGAGCTTGATTTTGTGTCGTGTTTGAACTTGAGTTTGTGATGTTTTTGAATTTGAGTTTGTGTGTTGGTTGAACTTGAGTTTGTGTTGTGTTTGAACTTGAGTTTGTGGTGTTTTTGAACTTAAGGTTGTGGCAATTTTTAAACTTGAGATTTGGGAATTGGTTGAACTTGAGTTATTGTGTTTGTTGAACTTGAGTTTGTGTCGTGTTTGAACGTGAGTTTGTGGTGTTTTTTAACTTGAGGTGGTTTCATGTTTGAACTTGAGTTTGTTGCGTTTGTTGAACTTGAGTTTGTGGTGTTTGTTGAACTTGAGTTTGTGGTTTTTGTTGAACTTGAGTTTGTGTCGTGTTTGAACTTGAGTTTGTGTGTTTTTTGAACTTTTGTTTGTTTTGTGTTTGAACTTGAGTTTGTGGTGTTTGTTGAACTTGAGTTTGTGTGGTGTTTGAACTTGAGTTTGTAGCGTGTTTGACCATGAGTTTGTGTTTTTTTTTAACTTGAGTTTTTGTGTTCGTTGAACTTGAGTTTGTTTTGTGTTTGAACTTGAGATTATGGTGTTTTTGAACTTGAGTTAGTGTGTTTGTTGAACTTGAGTTTGTGTCGTGTTTGAACTTTAGTTTGTGGCGTTTGTTGAGCTTGATTTTGTGTCGTATTTGAACTTGAGTTTGTGGTTTTTGTTGAACTTGAGTTTGTGTTGTGTTTGAACTTGAGTTTGTGTTGTGTTTGAACTTGAGTTTGTGGTGTTTTTGAACTTGAGTTTGTGTCGTGTTTGAACTTGAGGGTGTGGAATTTGTTTAACTAGAGAATTTGGTATTGGTTGAACTTGAGTTTGTGGTGTTTTTGAACTTGAGTTTGTGGAGATTGTTGAACTTGAGAATCAGGTGTTGGATGAACTTAAGTTAGTGTTTGTTGAACTTGAGTTTTTGTCGTGTTGGAACGTGAGTTTGTGGTGTTTTTGAACTTGAGTTTGTTTCATGTTTGAACTTGAGTTTGTGGCGTTTGTTGAACTTAAGTTTGTGGCGTTTGTTGAACTTGAGTTAGTGTGTTTGTTGAACTTGAGTTTTTTTGTCTTGTTTGAACTTGAGTTCGTAGTGTGTTTGACCATGAGTTTGTAGTGTTTTTGAACTTGAGTTTTTGTGTTCGTTGAACTTGAGTTTGTTTCGTGTTTGATCTTGAGATTGTGGTGTTTTTGAACTTGAGTTAGTGTGTTTGTTGAACTTGAGTTTGTGTCGTGTTTGAACTTTAGTTTGTGGCGTTTGTTGAGCTTGATTTTGTGTCGTGTTTGAACTTGAGTTTGTGGCTTTTGTTGAACTTGAGTTTGTGTGTTTTTTGAACTTGAGTTTGTGTGGTTTTTGAACTTGAGTTTGTTTCGTGTTTGAACTTGAGTTTGTGGCGTTTGTTGAATTTGAGTTTGTGTCATGTTTCAACTTGAGTTTGTGGTGTTATTGAACTTGAATTTGCGTGTTTGGTTAACTTGAGTTTTTGTGTTTTTTGAACTTAGGTTTCTGTTGTTTTTGAACTTGAGGTTGTGGAAATTGTTAAACTTGAGAATCAGGTGTTGGTTGAACTTGAGTTTGTGTGTTTGTTGAACTTGAGTTTGTGGTGTTTTTGAACTTGAGGGTGTGGAATTTGTTAAACTTGGGAATTGGGTTTTGGTTGAACTTGAGTTTGTGGTGTTTTTTAAATTAGGTTTGTGTCGTGTTTGAACTTGAGTTTGTGGCATTTGTTGAACTTGAGTTTGTGTGTTTTTTGAACTTGAGTTTCTGTTGTTTTTGAACTTGAATTTGTGTCGTGTTTGAACTTGAGTTTCTGGCGTTTGTTGAACTTGAGTTTGTGTCGTGTTTGATCTTGAGTTTGTGGTGTTTTTGAACTTGAGTTTTCTGGTTTTTTGAACTTGAGGGTGTGGAATTTGTTAAACTTGAGAATTGGGTATTGGTTTAACTTGAGTTTCTGTGGTTGTTGAACTTGATTTTGTGTCGAGTTTGAACTTGAGTTTGTGGTGTTTTTTAACTTGATTTTGTGTGTTTGTTGAACTTGAGTTTGTGTTTGAACTTGAGTTTGTGGCGTTTGTTGAACTTGAGTTTGTGTGTTTGTTTAACTTGATTTTGTGTTATGTTTGAACTTGAGTTTGTGGGGTTTTTGAACTTGAATTTGTGTCATGTTTGAACTTGAGTTTGTGGCGTTTGTTGAACTTGAGTTCTTGGTGTTTTTGAACTTGAGGGTGTGGAATTTGTTAATCTTGAGAATTGGGTATTGGTTGAACTTGAGTTTGTGTTTTTGTTGAACTTGAGTTTGTGTCGAGTTTGAACTTGAGTTTGTGGTGTTTTTTAACTTGATTTTGTGTGTTTGTTGAACTTGAGTTTGTGTTTGAACTTGAGTTTGTGGTGTTTTTGAACTTGAGTTTGTGTCGTGTTTTAACTTGAGTGTGTTTGTTTAACTTGAGTTTGTGTTGTGTTTGAACTTGAGGGTGTGTAATTTGTTAAACTTGAGAATTGGGTTTTGGTTGAACTTGAGTTTGTGGTGTTTTTTAAATTAGGTTTGTGTAGTGTTTGAACCTGAGTTTGTGGTGTTTTTGAACTTGAGGTGCGTGTTTGGTGACCTTGAGTTTGTGTGTTTTTTGAACTTGAGTTTCTGTTGTTTTTGAACTTGAATTTGTGTCGTGTTTGAACTTGAGTTTCTGGCGTTTGTTGAACTTGAGTTTGTGTCGTGTTTGATCTTGAGTTTGTGGTGTTTTTGAACTTGAGTTTTCTGGTTTTTTGAACTTGAGGGTGTGGAATTTGTTAAACTTGAGAATTGGGTATTGGTTTAACTTGAGTTTGTGTTTTTTTGAACTTGAGTTTGTGTCGAGTTTGAACTTGAGTTTGTGGTGTTTTTTAACTTGATTTTGTGTGTTTGTTGAACTTGAGTTTGTGTTTGAACTTGAGTTTGTGGCGTTTGTTGAACTTGAGTTTGTGTGTTTGTTTAACTTGATTTTGTGTTATGTTTGAACTTGAGTTTGTGGGGTTTTTGAACTTGAATTTGTGTCATGTTTGAACTTGAGTTTGTGGCGTTTGTTGAACTTGAGTTCTTGGTGTTTTTGAACTTGAGGGTGTGGAATTTGTTAATCTTGAGAATTGGGTATTGGTTGAACTTGAGTTTGTGTTTTTGTTGAACTTGAGTTTGTGTCGAGTTTGAACTTGAGTTTGTGGTGTTTTTTAACTTGATTTTGTGTGTTTGTTGAACTTGAGTTTGTGTTTGAACTTGAGTTTGTGGTGTTTTTGAACTTGAGTTTGTGTCGTGTTTTAACTTGAGTGTGTTTGTTTAACTTGAGTTTGTGTTGTGTTTGAACTTGAGGGTGTGTAATTTGTTAAACTTGAGAATTGGGTTTTGGTTGAACTTGAGTTTGTGGTGTTTTTTGAACTTGAGGTTTGTGTAGTGTTTGAACCTGAGTTTGTGGTGTTTTTGAACTTGAGGTGCGTGTTTGGTGACCTTGAGTTTGTGTGTTTTTGAACTTGAGTTTGTGTCGTGTTTGAACTTTAGTTTGTGGCGTTTGTTGAGCTTGATTTTGTGTCGTGTTTGAACTTGAGTTTGTGGCTTTTGTTGAACTTGAGTTTGTGTGTTTTTTGAACTTGAGTTTGTATGGTTTTTGAACTTGAGTTTGTTTCGTGTTTGAACTTGAGTTTGTGGCGTTTGTTGAATTTGAGTTTGTGTCATGTTTCAACTTGAGTTTGTGGTGTTATTGAACTTGAATTTGCGTGTTTGGTTAACTTGAGTTTTTGTGTTTTTTGAACTTAGGTTTCTGTTGTTTTTGAACTTGAGGTTGTGGAAATTGTTAAACTTGAGAATCAGGTGTTGGTTGAACTTGAGTTTGTGTGTTTGTTGAACTTGAGTTTGTGGTGTTTTTGAACTTGAGGGTGTGGAATTTGTTAAACTTGGGAATTGGGTTTTGGTTGAACTTGAGTTTGTGGTGTTTTTTAAATTAGGTTTGTGTCGTGTTTGAACTTGAGTTTGTGGCATTTGTTGAACTTGAGTTTGTGTGTTTTTTGAACTTGAGTTTCTGTTGTTTTTGAACTTGAATTTGTGTCGTGTTTGAACTTGAGTTTCTGGCGTTTGTTGAACTTGAGTTTGTGTCGTGTTTGATCTTGAGTTTGTGGTGTTTTTGAACTTGAGTTTTCTGGTTTTTTGAACTTGAGGGTGTGGAATTTGTTAAACTTGAGAATTGGGTATTGGTTTAACTTGAGTTTCTGTGGTTGTTGAACTTGATTTTGTGTCGAGTTTGAACTTGAGTTTGTGGTGTTTTTTAACTTGATTTTGTGTGTTTGTTGAACTTGAGTTTGTGTTTGAACTTGAGTTTGTGGCGCTTGTTGAACTTGAGTTTGTGTGTTTGTTTAACTTGATTTTGTGTTATGTTTGAACTTGAGTTTGTGGGGTTTTTGAACTTGAATTTGTGTCATGTTTGAACTTGAGTTTGTGGCGTTTGTTGAACTTGAGTTCTTGGTGTTTTTGAACTTGAGGGTGTGGAATTTCTTAATCTTGAGAATTGGGTATTGGTTGAACTTGAGTTTGTGTGTTTGTTGAACTTGAGTTTGTGTCGAGTTTGAACTTGAGTTTGTGGTGTTTTTTAACTTGATTTTGTGTGTTTGTTGAACTTGAGTTTGTGTTTGAACTTGAGTTTGTGGTGTTTTTGAACTTGAGTTTGTGTCGTGTTTTAACTTGAGTGTGTTTGTTTAACTTGAGTTTGTGTTGTGTTTGAACTTGAGGGTGTGTAATTTGTTAAACTTGAGAATTGGGTTTTGGTTGAACTTGAGTTTGTGGTGTTTTTTAACTTGAGTTTGTGTAGTGTTTGAACTTGAGTTTGTGGTGTTTTTGAACTTGAGGTGCGTGTTTGGTGACCTTGAGTTTGTGTGTTTTTTGAACTTGAGTTTCTGTTGTTTTTGAACTTGAATTTGTGTCGTGTTTGAACTTGGGTTTCTGGCGTTTGTTGAACTTTAGTTTGTGTCGTGTTTGATCTTGAGTTTGTGGTGTTTTTGAACTTGAGTTTTCTGGTTTTTTGAACTTGAGGGTGTGGAATTTGTTAAACTTGAGAATTGGGTATTGGTTTAACTTGAGTTTGTGTTTTTGTTGAACTTGAGTTTGTGTCGAGTTTGAACTTGAGTTTGTGGTGTTTTTTAACTTGATTTTGTGTGTTTGTTGAACTTGAGTTTGTGTTTGAACTTGAGTTTGTGGCGTTTGTTGAACTTGAGTTTGTGTGTTTGTTTAACTTGATTTTGTGTTATGTTTGAACTTGAGTTTGTGGGGTTTTTGAACTTGAATTTGTGTCATGTTTGAACTTGAGTTTGTGGCGTTTGTTGAACTTGAGTTCTTGGTGTTTTTGAACTTGAGGGTGTGGAATTTGTTAATCTTGAGAATTGGGTATTGGTTGAACTTGAGTTTGTGTTTTTGTTGAACTTGAGTTTGTGTCGAGTTTGAACTTGAGTTTGTGGTGTTTTTTAACTTGATTTTGTGTGTTTGTTGAACTTGAGTTTGTGTTTGAACTTGAGTTTGTGGTGTTTTTGAACTTGAGTTTGTGTCGTGTTTTAACTTGAGTGTGTTTGTTTAACTTGAGTGTGTGTTGTGTTTGAACTTGAGGGTGTGTAATTTGTTAAACTTGAGAATTGGGTTTTGGTTGAACTTGAGTTTGTGGTGTTTTTTAAATTAGGTTTGTGTAGTGTTTGAACCTGAGTTTGTGGTGTTTTTGAACTTGAGGTGCGTGTTTGGTGACCTTGAGTTTGTGTGTTTTTAGAACTTGAGTTTCTGTTGTTTTTGAACTTGAATTTGTGTCGTGTTTGAACTTGGGTTTCTGGCGTTTGTTGAACTTTAGTTTGTGTCGTGTTTGATCTTGAGTTTGTGGTGTTTTTGAACTTGAGTTTTCTGGTTTTTTGAACTTGAGGGTGTGGAATTTGTTAAACTTGAGAATTGGGTATTGGTTTAACTTGAGTTTGTGTGTTTGTTGAACTTGAGTTTGTGTCGAGTTTGAACTTGAGTTTGTGGTGTTTTTTAACTTGATTTTGTGTGTTTGTTGAACTTGAGTTTGTGTTTGAACTTGAGTTTGTGGGGTTTTTGAACTTGATTTGTGTCGTGTTTGAACTTGAGTTTGTGGCGTTTGTTGAACTTGAGTTTGTGGTGTTTTTGAACTTGAGGGTGTGGAATTTGTTAAACTTGAGAATTGGGTTTTGGTTTAACTTGAGTTTGTGGTGATTGTGTTGTTTTTAAATTAGGTTTGTGTAGTGTTTGAACCTCAGTTTGTGGTGTTTTTGAACTTGAGGTGCGTGTTTGGTGACCTTGAAATTTTGAAACTTGAGAATCAGGTGTTGGATGAACTTTAGTTAGTGTGTTTGTTGAACTTGAGTTTGTATCATGTTGGAAATTTAGTTTGTGGTGTTTGTTGAACGAAAGTTTGTGTTGTGTTTGAACTTGAGTTTGTGGTTTTTTTGAACTTGAGTTTGTTTCTTGTTTGAACTTGAGTTTGTGGCGTTTGTTGAAATTGAGTTTGTGTTGTGTTTGAACTTGAGTTAATGGTGTTTTTGAACTTGAGTTTTTTGTGTTTTTGAACTTGAGGGTGTGGAATTTGTTAAACTTTAGAATTGGGTATTGGTTGAACTTGAGTTTGTGATGTTTGTTGAACTTGAGTTTGTGATGTTTTTGAACTTGAGGTTGTGGAAATTGTTAAACTTGAGAACTGGGTATTGGTTGAACTTGAGTTTGTGGTGATTTTGAACTTGAATTTGTTTTGTGTTTGAACTTGAATTTGTGGCAATTGTTGAACTTCAGTTTGTGTCGTGTTTGAACTTGAGTTTGTGGTGTTTTTGAACTTTAGATTTTGGTGTTTTTGAACTTGAGGGTGTGGAATTTGTTAATCTTGAGAATTGGGTATTGGTTGAACTTGAGTTTGTGTTTTTGTTGAACTTGAGTTTGTGTCGAGTTTGAACTTGAGTTTGTGGTGTTTTTTAACTTGATTTTGTGTGTTTGTTGAACTTGAGTTTGTGTTTGAACTTGAGTTTGTGGTGTTTTTGAACTTGAGTTTGTGTCGTGTTTTAACTTGAGTGTGTTTGTTTAACTTGAGTTTGTGTTGTGTTTGAACTTGAGGGTGTGTAATTTGTTAAACTTGAGAATTGGGTTTTGGTTGAACTTGAGTTTGTGGTGTTTTTTAAATTAGGTTTGTGTAGTGTTTGAACCTGAGTTTGTGGTGTTTTTGAACTTGAGGTGCGTGTTTGGTGACCTTGAGTTTGTGTGTTTTTTGAACTTGAGTTTCTGTTGTTTTTGAACTTGAATTTGTGTCGTGTTTGAACTTGGGTTTCTGGCGTTTGTTGAACTTTAGTTTGTGTCGTGTTTGATCTTGAGTTTGTGGTGTTTTTGAACTTGAGTTTTCTGGTTTTTTGAACTTGAGGGTGTGGAATTTGTTAAACTTGAGAATTGGGTATTGGTTTAACTTGAGTTTGTGTTTTTGTTGAACTTGAGTTTGTGTCGAGTTTGAACTTGAGTTTGTGGTGTTTTTTAACTTGATTTTGTGTGTTTGTTGAACTTGAGTTTGTGTTTGAACTTGAGTTTGTGGGGTTTTTGAACTTGATTTGTGTCGTGTTTGAACTTGAGTTTGTGGCGTTTGTTGAACTTGAGTTTGTGGTGTTTTTGAACTTGAGGGTGTGGAATTTGTTAAACTTGAGAATTGGGTTTTGGTTTAACTTGAGTTTGTGGTGTTTTTTAAATTAGGTTTGTGTAGTGTTTGAACCTCAGTTTGTGGTGTTTTTGAACTTGAGGTGCGTGTTTGGTGACCTTGAAATTTTGAAACTTGAGAATCAGGTGTTGGATGAACTTTAGTTAGTGTGTTTGTTGAACTTGAGTTTGTATCATGTTGGAAATTTAGTTTGTGGTGTTTGTTGACCATGAGTTTGTGTTGTGTTTGAACTTGAGTTAGTGGTTTTTCTGAACTTGAGTTTGTTTCTTGTTTGAACTCGAGTTTGTGGCGTTTGTTGAAATTGAGTTTGTGTTGTGTTTGAACTTGAGTTAATGGGGTTTTTGAACTTGAGTTTGTGGTGATTTTGAACTTGAGGGTGTGGAATTTGTTAAACTTTAGAATTGGGTATTGGTTGAACTTGAGTTTGTGATGTTTGTTGAACTTGAGTTTGTGATGTTTTTGAACTTGAGGTTGTGGAAATTGTTAAACTTGAGAATTGGGTATTGGTTGAACTTGAGTTTGTTGTGATTTTGAACTTGAATTTGTTTTGTGTTTGAACTTGAATTTGTGGCAACTGTTGAACTTCAGTTTGTGTCGTGTTTAAACTTGAGTTTGTGGTGTTTTTGAACTTGAGTTTTTGGTGTTTTTGAACTTGAGGTTGTGGAAATTGTTCAACTTGAGAATTGGGTATCGTTGAACTTGATTTTTTTGTGTTTTTTTACTAGAGTTTGTGTCGTGTTTGAACTTGAGTTTGTGGTGTTTTTGAACTTGAGCTCTGTTGTTTTTGAACCTGAGGTATTGGAAATTGTTAAACCTTTGAATCAGGTGTTGGTTTAACTTGAGTTTGTGTGTTTGTTGAACTTGAGTTTGTGTCACGTTTGAACTTTAGCTTGTGGTGTTTTTGAACTTGAGTTTGTGTGTTTGAACTTGAGGTTGTGGTTTTTTTGGACTTGGTGTGGAATTTGTTAAACTTGAGAATTGGGTATTGGTTGAATTTGAGTTTGTGTGTTTGTTGAACTTGAGTTGTGGCGTTTGTTGAACTCTAGGTTGTGGCAATTGTTAAACTTGAGATTTGGTTGTTGGTTGAACTTGAGTTTGTGTCGTGTTTGAACTTGAGTTCGTGTTGTTTGTTGAACTTGAATTTGTGTGTTTTTTGAACTTAATTTTTTTGAACTTGAGTTTGTGGCAATTGTTGAACTTGAGTCTGTGGTTTTTGGTGAACTTTAATTGGTGGCAATTGTTGAACTTGAGTTTGTGGTGTTTTTGAACTTGAGTTTGTTTCGTGTTTGAACTGTGTTTGTGGTGTTTTTGAACTTGAGTTTTTGGTGTTTTTGAACTTGAGGGTGTGTTGTGTTTTTGAACTTGAGTTTGTGGTGTTTTTGAACTTGAGTTTGTTTCGTGTGAGAACTTGAGTTTGTTGAACTCTAGGTTGTGGCAATTGTTGAACTTGAGATTTGGGTGTTGGTTCAACTTAAAAGTTTGGCATTTGTTGAACATGAGTTTGTGTGTTTGTTGAACTTAAGTTTGTGTCTTGTTTGAACTTGAGTTTGTGTGTTTTTTGAACTTTAGTTTTTGGTGTCTTTGAACTTGAGTTTGTGGTGTTTTTGAACTTGAGTTTGTGGTGTTTTTGAACTTGAGGTGTTGGAAATTGTGAAACTTGAGAATTGGGTATTGGTTGAACTTGAGTTTGTGTGTTGGTTGAACAAGAGATTGTGTTGTGTTTTAACTTCAGTTTGTGCTGTTTTTTAAGCTTGAGGTTGTGGTGTTTTTGAACTTGAGTTTGTGGTGTTTTGTACTTGAGTTTGTGTCATTTTTCAACTTGAGGTTGTGGAACTTGTTAAACTTGAGAATCAGGTGTTGATTGAACTTGAGTATTTTTTTTTTTAACTTGAGTTTGTGTCGTGTTTGAGCTCGAAATTGTGGTGTTTTTGAATTTGAGTTTGCGTGTTTTTTGAACTTGAGTTTGTTGTTTCTGAACTTGAGATTTTGGCAATTGTTGAACTTGAGTCTGTGGTGTTTTTGAACTTGAGTTTGTTTCGTGTTTGAACTGTGTTTGTGGTGTTTTTGAACTTGAGTTTTTGGTGTTTTTGAACTTGAGGGTGTGTTGTGTTTTTGAACTTGAGTTTGTGGTGTTTTTGAACTCTAGGTTGTGGCAATTGTTGAACTTGAGATTTGGGTGTTGGTTCAACTTAAAAGTTTGGCATTTGTTGAACATGAGTTTGTGTGTTTGTTGAACTTAAGTTTGTGTCTTGTTTGAACTTGAGTTTGTGTGTTTTTTGAACTTTAGTTTTTGGTGTCTTTGAACTTGAGTTTGTGGTGTTTTTGAACTTGAGTTTGAATCGCGTTTGAACTTGAGTTTGTGGTGTTTTTGAACTTCAGTTTGTGGTGTTTTTGAACTTGAGGTGTTGGAAATTGTGAAACTTGAGAATTGGGTATTGTTGAACTTGATTTTTTTGTGTTTTTTTACTAGAGTTTGTGTCGTGTTTGAACTTGAGTTTGTGTGTTTTTTGAACTTTAGTTTTTGGTGTCTTTGAACTTGAGTTTGTGGTGTTTTTGAACTTGAGTTTGTGGTGTTTTTGAACTTGAGGTGTTGGAAATTGTGAAACTTGAGAATTGGGTATTGGTTGAACTTGAGTTTGTGTGTTGGTTGAACAAGAGATTGTGTTGTGTTTTAACTTCAGTTTGTGCTGTTTTTTAAGCTTGAGGTTGTGGTGTTTTTGAACTTGAGTTTGTGGTGTTTTGTACTTGAGTTTGTGTCATTTTTCAACTTGAGGTTGTGGAACTTGTTAAACTTGAGAATCAGGTGTTGATTGAACTTGAGTATTTTTTTTTTTAACTTGAGTTTGTGTCGTGTTTGAGCTCGAAATTGTGGTGTTTTTGAATTTGAGTTTGCGTGTTTGAACTTGAGGTTGTGGTTTTTTTGGACTTGAGTTTGTGGAAATTGTTGAACTTGAGAATTGGGTATATTTGAACTTGATTTTTTTGTGTTTTTTACTAGAGTTTGTGTCGTGTTTGAACTTGAGTTTGTGGTGTTTTTGAACTTGAGTTTCTGTTGTTTTTGAACTTGAGGTATTGGAAATTGTTAAACCTTTGAATCAGGTGTTGGTTTAACTTGAGTTTGTGTGTTTGTTGAACTTGAGTTTGTGTCACGTTTGAACTTTAGCTTGTGGTGTTTTTGAACTTGAGTTTGTGTGTTTGAACTTGAGGTTGTGGTTTTTTTGGACTTGAGTTTGTGTCGTGTTTAAACTTGAGGGTTTGGAATTTGTTTAACTTGACAATTTGGTATTGGTTGAACTTGAGTTTGTGGGGTTTTTCTGAACTTGAGTTTGTGGAAATTGTTTAACTTGAGAATCAGGTGTTGGATGAACTTGAGTTAGTGTTTGTTGAACTTTAGTTTGTGTTGTGTTGGAACTTAAGTTTTTGGTGTTTTTGATCTTGAGTTTGTGTGTTTGTTGAACTTGAGTTTGTGTTGTGTTTGAACTTGAGTTTGTTTTTTTTTAACTTGAGTTTGTTTCATGTTTGAACTTGAGTTTTTGGTGTCTTTGAACTTGAATTTTTGGTGTTTTTGAAATTGAGCTTGTGGAAGTTGTTAAACTTGAGAATTGGGTATTGGTTGAACTTGAGTTTTTTGTGTTTTTGAACTTGAGTTTGTTTCGTGTTTGAACTTGAGTTTATGGTGTTTTTGAACTTGAGTTTGTGGTGTTTTTGAACTTGAGGTTGTGGAAATTGTTAAACTTGAGAATTGGGTATTGGTTGAACTGATTTTTTTGTGTTTTTGATCTTGAGTTTGTGTCGTGTTTGAACTTGAGTTTATGGGTTTTTTTAACTTGAATTTGCATGTTTGGTGAACTTGAGTTTTCGTGTTTTTTTGAACTTGAGTTTCTGTTTTTTTGAACTTGAGGTTGTGGAAATTGTTAAACCGTATAATCGGGTGTTGGTTGAACTTGAGTTTGTTTTTTTTTTTAACTTGAGTTTGTGGTGTGTTTGAACTTGAGTTTGTGGTGTTTATGAACTTGAGTTTGTGTGTTTGTTGAACTTGAAATTGTGTTATTTTTGAACTTGAGTTTTTGGTGGTCTTGCACTTGAGGTTGAGGAAATTGTTAAACTTAAGAATTGGGTATTGGTTGAACTTGCGTTTTTTGTGTTTTTAAATTGGGTTTTTGTAGTGTTTGAACCTGAGTTTGTGGTGTTTTTGAACTTGAAGTTGTGTTTATTTTTAACTTGAGGGTGTGAAATTTTTTAAAGTTGAGAATTGGGTTTTGGTTGAACTTGAGTTTGTGGTGTTTTTTAACTTGAGTTTGTTTCATGTTTGAACTTGAGTTTTTGGTGTCTTTGAACTTGAATTTTTGGTGTTTTTGAAATTGAGCTTGTGGAAGTTGTTAAACTTGAGAATTGGGTATTGGTTGAACTTGAGTTTTTTGTGTTTTTGAACTTGAGTTTGTTTCGTGTTTGAACTTGAGTTTATGGTGTTTTTGAACTTGAGTTTGTGGTGTTTTTGAACTTGAGGTTGTGGAAATTGTTAAACTTGAGAATTGGGTATTGGTTGAACTGATTTTTTTGTGTTTTTGATCTTGAGTTTGTGTCGTGTTTGAACTTGAGTTTATGGGTTTTTTTAACTTGAATTTGCATGTTTGGTGAACTTGAGTTTTTGTGTTTTTTTGAACTTGAGTTTCTGTTTTTTTGAACTTGAGGTTGTGGAAATTGTTAAACCGTATAATCGGGTGTTGGTTGAACTTGAGTTTGTTTTTTTTTTAACTTGAGTTTGTGGTGTGTTTGAACTTGAGTTTGTGGTGTTTATGAACTTGAGTTTGTGTGTTTGTTGAACTTGAAATTGTGTTATTTTTGAACTTGAGTTTTTGGTGGTCTTGCACTTGAGGTTGAGGAAATTGTTAAACTTAAGAATTTGGTATTGGTTGAACTTGCGTTTTTTGTGTTTTTAAATTGGGTTTTTGTAGTGTTTGAACCTGAGTTTGTGGTGTTTTTGAACTTGAAGTTGTGTTTATTTTTAACTTGAGGGTGTGACATTTTTTAAAGTTGAGAATTGGGTTATGTTTGAACTTGAGTTTCTGTTGTTTTTGAACTTGAGTTTGTCCGTGTTAGAACTTGAGTTTTTGGCGTTTGTTGAACTTGAGTTTCTGTTGTTTTTGAACTTGAGTTTGTGTCGTGTTTTTGAAATTGAGCTTGTGTGTTTGTTGAACTTGAGTTTGTGTTATGTTTGAACTTGAGTTTCTGTTGTTTTTGAACTTGAGTTTGTGTCGTGTTTTTGAACTTGAGTTTTTGGTGTTTTTGAACTTGAGGGTGTGGAATTTGTTAAACTTGAGAATTGGGTATTGGTTGAATTTGAGTTTCTGTGTTTGTTGAAATTGAGTTTGTGTCATGTTTGAACTTGAGTTTGTGGTCTTTTTGAACTTGAGTTTGTGTGTTTGTTGAACTTGAGTTGTGGCGTTTGTTGAACTCTAGGTTGTGGCAATTGTTAAACTTGAGATTTGGTTGTTGGTTGAACTTGAGTTTGTGTCGTGTTTGAACTTGAGTTCGTGTTGTTTGTTGAACTTGAATTTGTGTGTTTTTTGAACTTAATTTTTTTGAACTTGAGTTTGTGGCAATTGTTGAACTTGAGTCTGTGGTTTTTGGTGAACTTTAATTGGTGGCAATTGTTGAACTTGAGTTTGTGGTGTTTTTGAACTTGAGTTTGTTTCGTGTTTGAACTGTGTTTGTGGTGTTTTTGAACTTGAGTTTTTGGTGTTTTTGAACTTGAGGGTGTGTTGTGTTTTTGAACTTGAGTTTGTGGTGTTTTTGAACTTGAGTTTGTGGCGGTTTTTGAACTTGAGGTTGTTGCAATTGTTGAACTTGAAATAAAAACCCAAATATGAACCCAAATATATATTTTTTCTTTTTACATTTTTTTTGGTGTAACCAACTCCAAAAGGTCTTAAACATGTTCCTAAAAAGGTTTTGGACAGTGATTTTAACCCTAACGCCAAAAACCTTAAACCTAATCCTAGCCCCATAACCTAATACCCGGGTATTACCTTCAGGAAGCCCGAACACCCCAAATATTTTTTTTCTTTTTCTTTTTTTTTTGTCTAACTAACTCCCAAAGGTCTGAAAGATGTTCCTTAAAAAATATTGGACAGTGATTTTAACCCTAACGCCAAAAAGCTTAAACCTAACCCTAGCCCCAAAACCTAATACCCGGGTATTACCTTCAGTAAGCACGAAAACCCCAAATATTTTTTTTCATTTTTCGTTTTTTTTTGGTCTAACTAACTCCAAAAGTTTGGAAAATAGTTCCTACAAAGGTTTTGGACAGTGATTTTAACCCTAACGCCAAAAACCTTAAACCTTACTATAGCCCCATAACCTAATACCCGGGTATTACCTTCAGGAAGCTTGAACACCCCAATATTTTTTTTTCATTTTACATTTTTTTTTGGTGTAACCAACTCCAAAAGGTCTGAAACATGTTCCTAAAAAGGTTTTGGACAGTGATTTTAACCCTAACGCCAAAAACCTTAAACCTTACACTAGCCCCATAACCTAATACCCGGGTATTTCCTTCAGGAAGCCCGAAGACCCCAAATATATTTTTTTCATTTTTTTTTTTTTGTTCTAACTAACTCCAAAAGGTTGGAAAAGAGTTCCTACAAAAGTTTTGGACAGTGATTTTAACCCTAACGCCAAAAACCTTAAACCTTACTATAGCCCCATAACCTAATACCCGGGTATTACCTTCAGGAAGCCCGAACACCCCAAATATTTTTTTTTTAATTTTACATTTTTTTTTGGTGTAACCAACTCTAAAAGGTCTTAAACATGTTCCTAAAAAGGTTTTGGACACTGATTTTAACTCTAACGCCAAAAACCTTAAACCTTACCCTAGCCCCATAACCTAATACCCGGGTATTACCTTCAGGAGACCCGAACACCCCAAATATATTTTTTTCTTTTTCTTTTTTTTTTGTCTAACTAACTCCCAAAGGTCTGAAACATGTTCCTTAAAAAATATTGGACAGTTATTTTAACCCTAACGCCAAAAACCTTAAACCTAACCCTAGCCCCAAAACCTAAAACCCGGGTATTACCCTCAGGAAGCCCGAACACCCCAAATATTTTTTTTTCATTTATCTTATTTTTTTTGTCTAACTTATTCCCAAAGGTTGGAAAATAGTTCCTACAAAGGTTTTGGACAGTGATTTTAACCCTAACGCCAAAAACCTTAAACCTAACCCTAGCCCCAAAACCTAATACCCGGGTATTACCTTCAGGAAGCTTGAACACCCCAAATATTTTTTTTTCAGTTTACATTTTTTTTTGGTGTAACCAACTCCAAAAGGTCCGAAACATGTTCCTAAAAAGGTTTTGGACAGTGATTTTAACCCTAACGCCAAAAACCTTAAACCTTACCCTAGCCCCATAACCTAATACCCGGGTATTACCTTCAGGAAGCCCGAACACCCCAAATATATTTTTTTCTTTTTTCTTTTTTTTTGGTCTAACTAACTCCAAAAGGTCGGAAAAGAGTTCCTACAAAGGTTTTGGACAGTGATTTTAACCCTAACACCAAAAACCTTAAACCTTACCCTAGCCCCAAAACATAATACCCGGGTATTACCTTCAGGAAGCCCAAACACCCCAAATATTTTTTTTTTCATTTTACATTTTTTTTGGTGTAACCAACTCCAAAAGGTCTGAAACATGTTCCTAAAAAGGTTTTGGACAGTGATTTTAACCCTTACGCCAAAAACCTTAAACCTTACCCTAGCCCCATAACCTAATACCTGGGTATTACCTTCAGGAAGCCCGAACACCCCAAATATATATTTTTTCTTTTTCTTTTTTTTTTTGGTCAAACTAGCTCCAAAAGGTCTGAAACATGTTCCTTAAAAAGGTTTTGGACAGTGATTTTAACCCTTACGCCAAAAACCTTAAACCTTATCCTAGCCCCATAACCTAATACTTAAACCTGAAGGGTATTACCTTCAGGAAGCCCGAACACCCCAAATATTTTTTTTTTGCATTTTACATTTTTTTTGGTGTAACCAACTCCAAAAGGTCTGAATCTTGTTCCTTAAAAGGTTTTGGACAGTGATTTTAACCCTAACGCCAAAAACCTTAAACCTTACCCTAGCCCCAAAACCTAATACCTTCAGGAAGCCCGAACACCCCAAATATATTTTTTTCTTTTTACTTTTTTTTTGGTCTAACTAACTCCAAAAGGTCTGAAACATGTTCCTTAAAAAATATTGGACAGTGATTTTAACCCTCACGCCAAAAACCTTAAACCTTACCCTAGCCCCATAACCTAATACCCGGGTATTACCTTCAGGAAGCCCGAACACCCCAAATACTTTTTTTTTTTCATTTTACATTTTTTTTGGTGTAACCAACTCCAAAAGGTCTTAAACATGTTCCTAAAAAGGTTTTGGACACTGATTTTAACTCTAACGCCAAAAACCTTAAACCTAACCCTAGCCCCAAAACCTAATACCCGGGTATTACCTTCAGGAAGCCCGAACACCCAAAATATATATTTTTTATTTTTCTTTATTTTTGGTCTAACTTGCCCTCAAAGGTTGGAAAAGAGTTCCTACAAAGGTTTTGGACATTGATTTTAACCCTAACGCCAAAAACCTTAAACATTACCCTAGCCCAGAAACCTAGTATTACCTTCAGGAAGCCCGAACACCCAAAAAAAAATTTTTTTTCATTTTACATTTTTTTTGGTGTAACCAACTCCAAAAGGTCTGAAACATGTTCCTAAAAAGGTTTTGGACAGTGATTTTAACCCTTACGCCAAAAACCTTAAACCTTACCCTAGCCCCATGACCTAATACCCGGGTATTACCTTCAGGAAGCCCAAACACCCCAAATATTTTTTTTTCATTTATCTTTTTTTTTTTTTGTCTAACTAACTCCAAAAGGTTGGAAAAGACTTCCTACAAAGGTTTTGGACGGTGATTTTAACCCTCACGCCAAAAACCTTAAACCTTACCCTAGCCCCATAACCTCATACCCGGGTATTTCCTTCAGGAAGCCCGAAGACCCCAAATATATTTTTTTCTTTTTTCTTTTTTTTTGGTCTAACTAACTCCAAAAGGTCGGAAAAGAGTTCCTACAAAGGTTTTGGACGGTGATTTTAACCCTAACACCGAAAACCTTAAACCTTACCCTAGCCCCAAAACCTAATACCTGGGTATTACCTTCAGAAACCTTGAACACCCCAAATATTTTTTTTTTCATTTTACATTTTTTTTTGGTGTTACCAACTCCAAAAGGTCTGAAACATGTTCCTACAAAGGTTTTGGACAGTGATTTTAACCCTAACGCCAAAAACCTTTAACCTTACTATAGCCCCATAACCTAATACCTGGGTATTTCCTTCAGGAAGCCCGAAGACCCCAAATATTTTTTTTTTCATTTTACATTTTTTTTGGTGTAACCAACTCCAAAAGGTCTTAAACATGTTCCTAAAAAGGTTTTGGACACTGATTTTAACTCTAACGCCAAAAACCTTAAACCTTACCCTAGCCCCAAAACCTAATACCCGAGTATTACCTTCAGGAAGCCCAAAAACCCCAAATATTTTTTTTCATTTTTCGTTTTTTTTTTGGTCTAACTAACTCCAAAAGGTTGGAAAATAGTTCCTACAAAGGTTTTGGACAGTGATTTTAACCCTAACGCCAAAAACCTTTAACCTTTCTATAGCCCCATAACCTAATACCTGGGTATTTCCTTCAGGAAGCCCGAAGACCCCAAATATACTTTTTTTCATTTTACATTTCTTTTTGGTGTAACCAACTCCAAAAGGTCTGAAACGTGTTCCTAAAAAGGTTTTGGACAGTGATTTCAACCCTAACGCCAAAAACCTTAAACCTAACCCTAGCCCCAAAACCTAATACCTGGGTATTACCTTCAGGAAGCCCGAACACCCAAAATATATATTTTTTATTTTTCTTTATTTTTGGTCTAACTTGCCCTCAAAGGTTGGAAAAGAGTTCCTACAAAGGTTTTGGACATTGATTTTAACCCTAACGCCAAAAACCTTAAACATTACCCTAGCCCAGAAACCTAGTATTACCTTCAGGAAGCCCGAACACCCAAAAAAATTTTTTTTTCATTTTACATTTTTTTTGGTGTAACCAACTCCAAAAGGTCTGAAACATGTTCCTAAAAAGGTTTTGGACAGTGATTTTAACCCTTACGCCAAAAACCTTAAACCTTACCCTAGCCCCATGACCTAATACCCGGGTATTACCTTCAGGAAGCCCGAACACCCCAAATATATATTTTTTCTTTTTACATTTTTTTTGGTGTAACCAACTCCAAAAGGTCTTAAACATGTTCCTAAAAAGGTTTTGGACAGTGATTTTAAACCTAACGCCAAAAACCTTAAACCTTACCCTAGCCCCATAACCTCATACCCGGGTATTTCCTTCAGGAAGCCCGAAGACCCCAAATATATTTTTTTCTTTTTTCTTTTTTTTTGGTCTTACTAACTCCAAAAGGTCGGAAAAGAGTTCCTACAAAGGTTTTGGACGGTGATTTTAACCCTAACACCAAAAACCTTAAACCTTACCCTAGCCCCAAAACCTAATACCCGGGTATTACCTTCAGGAAGCTTGAACACCCCAAATATTTTTTTTTTCATTTTACATTTTTTTTTGGTGTTACCAACTCCAAAAGGTCTGAAACATGTTCCTACAAAGGTTTTGGACAGTGATTTTAACCCTAACGCCAAAAACCTTTAACCTTCCTATAGCCCCATAACGTAATACCTGGGTATTTCCTTCAGGAAGCCCGAAGACCCCAAATATATTTTTTTTCATTTTACATTTTTTTTGGTGTAACCAACTCCAAAAGGTTGGAAAATAGTTCCTACAAAGGTTTTGGACAGTGATTTTAACCCTAACGCCAAAAACCTTTAACCTTTCTATAGCCCCAAAACCTAATACCCGGGTATTACCTTCAGGAAGCCCAAAAACCCCAAATTTTTTTTTTCATTTTTCGTTTTTTTTTTTGGTCTAACTAACTCCAAAAGGTTGGAAAATAGTTCCTACAAAGGTTTTGGACAGTGATTTTAACCCTAACGCCAAAAACCTTTAACCTTTCTATAGCCCCATAACCTAATACCTGGGTATTTCCTTCAGGAAGCCCGAAGACCCCAAATATATTTTTTTTCATTTTACATTTTTTTTTGGTGTAACCAACTCCAAAAGGTCTGAAACGTGTTCCTAAAAAGGTTTTGGACAGTGATTTCAACCCTAACGCCAAAAACCTTAAACCTTACCCTAGCCCCATAACCTAATACCTGGGTATTTCCTTCAGGAAGCCCGAACACCCCAAATATATTTTTTTCTTTTTTCCTTTTTTTTGGTCTAACAAACTCCAAAAGGTTGGAAAAGAGTTCCTACAAAGGTTTTGGACAGTGATTTTAACCCTACCACCAAAAACCTTAAACCTTACCCTAGCCCCAAAACCTAATACCCGGGTATTACCTTCAGGAAGCCCGAACACCCCAAATATTTTTTTTTTCATTTTACATTTTTTTTGGTGTAACCTACTCCAAAATGTCTTAAACATGTTCCTAAAAAGGTTTTGGACACTGATTTTAACTCTAACGCCAAAAACCTTAAACCTTACCCTAGCCCCATAACCTAATACCCGGGTATTACCTTCAGGAAGCCCGAACACCCCAAATATTTTTTTTTTCTTTTTCTTTTTTTTTTTGTCTAACTAACTCCCAAAGGTCTGAAACATGTTCCTTAAAAAATATTGGACAGTTATTTTGACCCTTACGCCAAAAACCTTAAACCTTACCCTAGCCCCAAAACCTAATACCCGGGTATTACCTTCAGGAAGCCCGAACACCCCAAATATTTTTTTTTCATTTATCTTTTTTTTTTTTTTGTCTAACTTAATCCCAAAGGTTGGAAAAGAGTTCCTACAAAGGTTTTGGACAGTGATTTTTACCCTCACGCCAAAAAACCTTAAACCTTACCCTAGCCCCATAACCTAATACCCGGGTATTACCTTCAGGAAGCCCGAACACCCCAAATATATATTTTTATTTTTATTTTTGTTTTGGTCTAACTTGCTCTCAAAGGTTGGAAAAGAGTTCCTACAAAGGTTTTGGACATTGATTTTAACCCTAACGCCAAAAACCTTAAACATTACCCTAGCCCAGAAACCTAGTATTACCTTCAGGAAGCCCGAACACCCAAAAAAAATTTTTTTTCATTTTACATTTTTTTTTGGTGTAACCAACTCCAAAAGGTCTTAAACGTGTTCCTAAAAAGGTTTTGGACACTGATTTTAACTCTAACGCCAAAAACCTTAAACCTTACCCTAGCCCCATAACCTAATACCCGGGTATTACCTTCAGGAAGCCCTAACACCCCAAATATTTTTTTTTTCTTATTCTTTTTTTTTTGTCTAACTAACTCCCAAAGGTCTGAAACATGTTCCTTAAAAAATATTGGACAGTTATTTTGACCCTAACGCCAAAAACCTTAAACCTAACCCTTGCCCCATAACCTAATACCCAGGTATTACCTTCAGGAAGCCCTAACACCCCAAATATTTTTTTTTTCTTTTTACATTTTTTTTGTCTAACTAACTCCCAAAGGTCTGAAACATGTTCCTTAAAAAATATTGGACAGTTATTTTGACCCTTATGCCAAAAACCTTAAACCTAACCCTAGCCCCAAAACCTATTACCTTCAGGAAGCCCGAACACCCCAAATATTTTTTTTTCATTTATCTTTTTTTTTTTTGTCTAACTTAATCCCAAAGGTTGGAAAAGAGTTCCTACAAAGGTTTTGGACATTGATTTTAACCCTAACGCCAAAAACCTTAAACATTACCCTAGCCCAGAAACCTAGTATTACCTTCAGGAAGCCCGAAAACCCAAAAAAATTTTTTTTTCATTTTACATTTTTTTTGGTGTAACCAACTCCAAAAGGTCTGAAACATGTTCCTAAAAAGGTTTTGGACAGTGATTTTAACCCTTACGCCAAAAACCTTAAACCTTACCCTAGCCCCATAACCTAATACCCGGGTATTACCTTCAGGAAGCCCGAACACCCCAAATATTTTTTTTTCATTTATCTTTTTTTTTTTTGTCTAACTAACTCCAAAAGGTTGGAAAAGACTTCCTACAAAGGTTTTGGACAGTGATTTTAACCCTCACGCCAAAAACCTTAAACCTTAACCTAGCCCCAAAACCTAATACCCGGGTATTACCTTCAGGAAGCCCGAACACCCCAAATATATATTTTTTCTTTTTACATTTTTTTTGGTGTAACCAACTCCAGAAGGTCTTAAACATGTTCCTAAAAAGATTTTGGACAGTGATTTTAAACCTAACGCCAAAAAACTTAAACCTTACCCTAGCCCCATAACCTCATACCCGGGTATTACCTTCAGGAAGCCCGAAGACCCCAAATATATTTTTTTCTTTTTTCTTTTTTTTTGGTGTAACCAACTCCAAAAGGTCTTAAACATGTTCCTAAAAAGGTTTTGGACAGTGATTTTAACTCTAACGCCAAAAACCTTAAACCTTACCCTAGCCCCAAAACCTAATACCCGGGTATTACCTTCAGGAAGCCCAAAAACCCCAAATATTTTTTTTCATTTTTCGTTTTTTTTTTTTGGTCTAACTAACTCCAAAAGGTTGGAAAATAGTTCCTACAAAGGTTTTGGACAGTGATTTTAACCCTAACGCCAAAAACCTTTAACCTTACTATAGCCCCATAACCTAATACCTGGGTATTTCCTTCAGGAAGCCCGAAGACCCCAAATATATTTTTTTTCATTTTACATTTTTTTTTGGTGTAACCAACTCCAAAAGGTCTGAAACGTGTTCCTAAAAAGGTTTTGGACAGTGATTTCAACCCTAACGCCAAAAACCTTAAACCTTACCCTAGCCCCATAACCTAATACCTGGGTATTTCCTTCAGGAAGCCCGAACACCCCAAATATATTTTTTTCTTTTTTCCTTTTTTTTGGTCTAACTAACTCCAAAAGGTTGGAAAAGAGTTCCTACAAAGGTTTTGGACAGTGATTTTAACCCTTCCACCAAAAACCTTAAACCTTACCCTAGCCCCAAAACCTAAAACCCGGGTATTACCTTCAGGAAACTTGAACACCCCAAATATTTTTTTTTCATTTTACATTTTTTTTTGGTGTAACCAACTCCAAAAGGTCTGAAACATGTTCCTAAAAAGGTTTTGGACACTGATTTTAACTCTAACGCCAAAAACCTTAAACCTTACCCTAGCCCCATAACCTAATACCCGGGTATTACCTTCAGGAAGCCCGAACACCCCAAATATTTTTTTTTCATTTATCTTTTTTTTTTTGTCTAACTAACTCCAAAAGGTCTGAAACATGTTCCTTAAAAAATATTGGACAGTGATTTTAACCCTTACGCCAAAAACCTTAAACCTAATCCTAGCCCCATAACCTAATACTTAAACCTGAAGGGTATTACCTTCAGGAAGCCCGAACACCCCAAATATATTTTTTTTCATTTTACATTTTTTTTGGTGTAACCAACTCCAAAAGGTCTGAAACATGTTCCTAAAAAGGTTTTGGACAGTGATTTTAACCCTTACGCCAAAAACCTTAAACCTTACCCTAGCCCCATAACCTAATACCCGGGTATTACCTTCAGGAAGCCCGAACACCCCAAATATTTTTTTTTCATTTATCTTTTTTTTTTTTTGTCTAACTAACTCCAAAAGGTTGGAAAAGACTTCCTACAAAGGTTTTGGACAGTGATTTTAACCCTCACGCCAAAAACCTTAAACCTTAACCTAGCCCCAAAACCTAATACCTGGGTATTTCCTTCAGGAAGCCCGAACACCCCAAATATATTTTTTTCTTTTTTCCTTTTTTTTGGTCTAACTAACTCCAAAAGGTTGGAAAAGAGTTCCTACAAAGGTTTTGGACAGTGATTTTAACCCTTCCACCAAAAACCTTAAACCTTACCCTAGCCCCAAAACCTAAAACCCGGGTATTACCTTCAGGAAACTTGAACACCCCAAATATTTTTTTTTCATTTTACATTTTTTTTTGGTGTAACCAACTCCAAAAGGTCTGAAACATGTTCCTAAAAAGGTTTTGGACACTGATTTTAACTCTAACGCCAAAAACCTTAAACCTTACCCTAGCCCCATAACCTAATACCCGGGTATTACCTTCAGGAAGCCCGAACACCCCAAATATTTTTTTTTCATTTATCTTTTTTTTTTGTCTAACTAACTCCAAAAGGTCTGAAACATGTTCCTTAAAAAATATTGGACAGTGATTTTAACCCTTACGCCAAAAACCTTAAACCTAATCCTAGCCCCATAACCTAATACTTAAACCTGAAGGGTATTACCTTCAGGAAGCCCGAACACCCCAAATATTTTTTTTTTCATTTTACATTTTTTTTGGTGTAACCAACTCCAAAAGGTCTGAAACATGTTCCTAAAAAGGTTTTGGACAGTGATTTTAACCCTTACGCCAAAAACCTTAAACCTTACCCTAGCCCCATAACCTAATACCCGGGTATTACCTTCAGGAAGCCCGAACACCCCAAATATTTTTTTTTCATTTATCTTTTTTTTTTTGTCTAACTAACTCCAAAAGGTTGGAAAAGACTTCCTACAAAGGTTTTGGACAGTGATTTTAACCCTCACGCCAAAAACCTTAAACCTTAACCTAGCCCCAAAACCTAATACCCGGGTATTACCTTCAGGAAGCCCGAACACCCCAAATATATATTTTTTCTTTTTACATTTTTTTGGTGTAACCAACTCCAGAAGGTCTTAAACATGTTCCTAAAAAGATTTTGGACAGTGATTTTAAACCTAACGCCAAAAAACTTAAACCTTACCCTAGCCCCATAACCTCATACCCGGGTATTTCCTTCAGGAAGCCCGAAGACCCCAAATATATTTTTTTCTTTTTTCTTTTTTTTTGGTGTAACCAACTCCAAAAGGTCTTAAACATGTTCCTAAAAAGGTTTTGGACACTGATTTTAACTCTAACGCCAAAAACCTTAAACCTTACCCTAGCCCCAAAACCTAATACCCGGGTATTACCTTCAGGAAGCCCAAAAACCCCAAATATTTTTTTTCATTTTTCGTTTTTTTTTTTGGTCTAACTAACTCCAAAAGGTTGGAAAATAGTTCCTACAAAGGTTTTGGACAGTGATTTTAACCCTAACGCCAAAAACCTTTAACCTTACTATAGCCCCATAACCTAATACCTGGGTATTTCCTTCAGGAAGCCCGAAGACCCCAAATATATTTTTTTTCATTTTACATTTTTTTTTGGTGTAACCAACTCCAAAAGGTCTGAAACGTGTTCCTAAAAAGGTTTTGGACAGTGATTTCAACCCTAACGCCAAAAACCTTAAACCTTACCCTAGCCCCATAACCTAATACCTGGGTATTTCCTTCAGGAAGCCCGAACACCCCAAATATATTTTTTTCTTTTTTCCTTTTTTTTGGTCTAACTAACTCCAAAAGGTTGGAAAAGAGTTCCTACAAAGGTTTTGGACAGTGATTTTAACCCTTCCACCAAAAACCTTAAACCTTACCCTAGCCCCAAAACCTAAAACCCGGGTATTACCTTCAGGAAACTTGAACACCCCAAATATTTTTTTTTCATTTTACATGTTTTTTTGGTGTAACCAACTCCAAAAGGTCTGAAACATGTTCCTAAAAAGGTTTTGGACACTGATTTTAACTCTAACGCCAAAAACCTTAAACCTTACCCTAGCCCCATAACCTAATACCCGGGTATTACCTTCAGGAAGCCCCAACACCCCAAATATTTTTTTTTCATTTATCTTTTTTTTTTGTCTAACTAACTCCAAAAGGTCTGAAACATGTTCCTTAAAAAATATTGGACAGTGATTTTAACCCTTACGCCAAAAACCTTAAACCTAATCCTAGCCCCATAACCTAATACTTAAACCTGAAGGGTATTACCTTCAGGAAGCCCGAACACCCCAAATATTTTTTTTTTTCATTTTACATTTTTTTTGGTGTAACCAACTCCAAAAGGTCTGAATCTTGTTCCTTAAAAGGTTTTGGACAGTGATTTTAACCCTAACGCCAAAAACCTTAAACCTTACCCTAGCCCCAAAACCTAATACCTTCAGGAAGCCCGAAAACCCCAAATATTTTTTTTTCTTTTTTCTTTTTTTTTGGTCTAACTAACTCCAAAAGGTCTGAAACATGTTCCTTAAAAAATATTGGACAGTGATTTTAACCCTAACGCCAAAAACCTTAAACCTAATCCTAGCCCCAAAACCTAATACCCGGGTATTACCTTCAGGAAGCCCGAACACCCCAAATATATATTTTTTATTTTTCTTTTTTTTTTTGGTCTAACTTTCTCTCAAAGGTTGGAAAAGAGTTCCTCCAAAGGTTTTGGACATTGATTTTAACCCTAACGCCAAAAACCTTAAACATTACCCTAGCCCAGAAACCTAGTATTACCTTCAGGAAGCCCGAACACCCAAAAAAATTTTTTTTTCATTTTACATTTTTTTTGGTGTAACCAACTCCAAAAGGTCTGAAACATGTTCCTAAAAAGGTTTTGGACAGTGATTTTAACCCTAACGCCAAAAACCTTTAACCTTACCCTAGCCCCATAACCTAATGCCCGGGTATTACCTTCAGGAAGCCCTAACACCCCAAATATTTTTTTTTTTCATTTTACATTTTTTTTGGTGTAACCAACTCCAAAAGGTCTGAATCTTGTTCCTTAAAAGGTTTTGGACAGTGATTTTAACCCTAATGCCAAAAACCTTAAACCTTACCCTAGCCCCAAAACCTAATACCTTCAGGAAGCCCGAAAACCCCAAATATTTTTTTTCTTTTTTCTTTTTTTTTGGTCTAACTAACTCCAAAAGGTCTGAAACATGTTCCTTAAAAAATATTGGACAGTGATTTTAACCCTAACGCCAAAAACCTTAAACCTAATCCTAGCCCCAAAACCTAATACCCGGGTATTACCTTCAGGAAGCCCGAACACCCCAAATATATATTTTTTATTTTTCTTTTTTTTTTTGGTCTAACTTTCTCTCAAAGGTTGGAAAAGAGTTCCTCCAAAGGTTTTGGACATTGATTTTAACCCTAACGCCAAAAACCTTAAACATTACCCTAGCCCAGAAACCTAGTATTACCTTCAGGAAGCCCGAACACCCAAAAAAATTTTTTTTTCATTTTACATTTTTTTTGGTGTAACCAACTCCAAAAGGTCTGAAACATGCTCCTCTTCCAGTTTCAAGGGTGAGAGTGAATTCCAAAGAATCCTCCACCTTGGAACCTATACTAACACTACATTCCTCAGAAAACTAAACAAAAAACATCTAAACCCTAACAGCAATGACGAAAAGATAAATACTTTTCAAGACAAATTAACTCCTGACCCCACCCTGCCTCCCTCCTTTTCTCCCTCTCTCCTGATCTGTACCTCTCTCTCCTATCAGAGGATGAAAACCAGCAGGTGAGGAGAGTCTCAATGGCGAGTCACGGTTGCAAGATCTATTCTCTTTCTATCACTCGAATCCCTGCATGAGCAGAATGGTGCCAGATGGACCACCTGCTCCCACCACAATCCTCTGTGACTTTTTGACTCAATCCACTTTTAGAACTTAAAATAGTAATCAATAATCAACTGACCAACTCAGCTCAAACCAAACCCAAAACTCTGCCTAGAGAACTCTCACTTCCACGTTTACATATCTCTTTGTATCTTGTGAGGACCGTGAGGAGAGCAGAGCCTAGACCTAGTCGGGTCGGGTGACTATGTCCCTTGCTCACTCTCCTCACATGGATGGTGAGAGCTGGGGAGCTATGGAATGTTTCATCCGCCACCAAATCCCCCTCACCAATCTTTATTTTCCACCATCTCCACCTCTCCCTTAAACCCCCCTCTCCCTCTTCCCTCTCTCTCTCTCTCTCTCTCACCCCCCCCCCCCCCTCTCTCTCTCTCTCTCTCTCTCCCTCATCTCTCCCCCTCTCTCTAACACCCCCCCTCTTTCTTATTCCCTCCCCTGCCCCTTTATTTTCACCTTCACAGAGGACAAATAGGTGATCTTCAGCCTCGGCCTACACCGGCCGGGGGGTAACCCCTGTTGGGTCACCTATATTGAGGATTAAGAGAGACCTGAAGGGGAACCGCCGTGCCACCTAAATCCTCCCCCTCTAACATCTTTTTTAACACTCTAAAATTAGCCAGCTAACCCCACTACAAACAACTTCATCAAAAATTTAAATAATAAATACTTATTGATAACTGACCATCAGTGACACCAGACTAAGCTAGTAAAAAAGAACACACATACACGTGCAGATTTTCCCTTAGGACATTGATCAAATTTACATTTCTGTCTGTCTTTTAGGGAACTGTTCTCTGTTTTTAAGCTCACTTCTGTTTTTTGCTATTTGCTCTTGACACTTCTTTTTTTCCTTTTTTATTCTCCTTTCCCTTTTGCAATCCACTTTTGTTCTTCTTTTATTTTTTATTTTTTCATTGTTTTATATTATTTTATTTTATTTTATTTTATTTCATTTTAGGGTTCCTGTGCTTTTGTTTGTCTTCCCCCCTCCCCTCTTTTTTCTTAGGAAGGACTGACTCCTGAGGTTCTCATGCCAGGAAAAATGTACCTCCCTCACTCACGGTTTTACCCACAATCCTTTGCTGCAACAGGGAGATTGATTCCCAAGGCTCTCATGGCAGAAAGGAAGTACCTCACTCACTCACGGTTTTACCCACAATCCTTTGCTGTAACAGGAAGATTGATTCCTTAGGCTCTCATCCCTCAGAACTAAAATACCCACAATCCCTTACGATTGCATACAAATTTAATGTAGCAAAACTAAATTTAAAACAAATAAACTACATTAAAATTAACTTAAAACAACTTGAAAGTTTAAAATACAACCAAGAGACATCCATTCTGGAATACAAACATCGAGAAGAGAACACAACCATGTCTGAGAGGAACAGCACAAACCATGACTCGAGCCCAACTCTGGGGATGCCTCTCCTGTCAAAAGCACATATAAGTGCTGTGCACAAAAGAGCAATTCCTGTTGCTGTAATTGAGACAAAGCACTGACCGCTGGACCAAGAAGACCGACCACCGCCTCGAGGAAGACGCCGCGCCGCCACCTGAAAGAAGACGCCGCACCTCCATCACTCCAAGCCGCCCACCACCGAGCTTCGACCCGCCGACGGCACCGAGTCCCAGCAAACCTTGCCGCGGACCGCCTATCTTCTTTCCCCCGCCGAGGACCACGGACTTCAGACACACCGCTGCCGCCGCGGCTGGACAGCTGGAACCTTTTCCCCCCTCCAACAGATTTTAGACTACTGGAAAAGAAACGCCTCACATCAACAACAACATAGGACCACTAGGGTAAGTCTACAAAAAACCTCTCAAACACCTCAAAATTACTCTAAATAGTTAGTTTTGTTTTTGAACTTGAGTTTGTGTCGTGTTTCAAGTTTGTGACAACTTATGAACTTGAGTTTGTTTCGCTTGATTTTTTGGCAATTGTTGAACTTGAGTCTTTGGTTTTTAGTGAACTTGAGTTTGTGGCGTTTGTTGAACTTGAGTTTGTGGCGTTTGTTGAACTTGAGTTTGTGAAGTGTTTGAACTTGAGTTTGTGTTTTTTTTAACTTGAGGTTGTGGCAATTGTTAAACTTGAGAATCGGGTGTTGGTTGAACTTGAGTTTGTGGTGTTCATTGAACTTGAGTTTGTGGAATATTTGAACTTCAGTTTATTATGTTTTTTGAACTTGAGGTTCTGGTGTTTTTGAACTTGAGTTTGTGTGTTTTTTGAACTTGAGGTTGTGGAAATTGTTAAACTTGAGAATCGGGTGTTGCTTGAACTTGACTTGTTGTGTTTGTTGAACTTGAGTTTGTGTCGTTTTAGAACTTCAGTTTGTGTGGTGTTTTTGAAGTTGAGTTTGTGGCGTTTGTTGAACTTGAGTTTGTGGCGTGTTTGAACTTGAGTTTGTGTTGTTTTTTGAACTTGAGGTTGTGGAAATTGTTAAACCTGAGAATCGGGTGTTGGTTGAACTTGAAACTGTGACATTTGTTGAACTTGAGTTTGTGGTGTTTGTTGAACTTGAGTTTGTATCGTGTTTGAAATTGAGTTTGTGGTGTTTTTGAACTTGAGTTTGTGTGTTTTTTGAATTTGAGTTTGTGGTGTTTTTGAACTTCATTTTGTGGCACTTTTTTAACTTGAGTTTGTTGAATTTGAGTTTTTGGCAATTGTTTAATGTGAATATAGGTCATTTGTTGAATTTGAAATTTTGTCATTTTTTGAACTTAGGCTTGTGGTGTTTGATGAACTTGAGTTTGTGGCAATTGTTGAACTTGAGTTTGTGGTGTTTGTTGTACTTGAGTTTGTGGCGTGTTTGAACTTGAGTTTCTGTTGGTTTTGAACTTGAGGTTGTGGAAATTGTCAAACTTGAGAATTGGGTATTGGCTGTACCTGAGTTTGTGAATCGTGTTTGAACTTGAGTTTGTGGTGTTTTTGATCTTGAGCTTTTGTGTTTTTTGAACTGAAGTTTGTGGCAATTGTTAAACTTGTGACTTAGGTGTTGGTTGAACTTGAGTTTGTGGTGTTTTTGAACTTGAGGTTTTGGCAAATGTTAAACTTGATATTTGGGTGTTGTTTGAACTTGAGTTTGTGTCGTGTTTGAACTTGAGTTTGTGTCGTGTTTGAACTTGAGTTTGTGTCATGTTTGAACTTGAGTGTTGTGTTTGAACTTGAGTTTGTTGCAATTTTTGAACTTGAGTTTTGAACTTGAGTCTTTGGTTTTTAGTGAACTTTATTTGGTGGCAATTGTTAAACTTGAGTTTGTCGCGTGTTTGAACTTGAGTTTGTGTTGTTTTTTAACTTGAGGTTTTGGCAATTGTTAATCTTTAGATTTGGGTGTTGGTTGAACTTAAAACTTTGACATTTGTTGAACTTGACTTTGTGGTGTTCATTTAACTTGAGTTTGTGGTGTTTTTGAACTTGAATTTTTGTGTTTTTTTTTAACTTGAGTTTGTGGTGTTTTTGAACTTGAATTTGTGTGTTTTTTGAACTTGAGGTTGTTGCAATTTTTGAACTTGAGTTTGTTGAACTTGAGTTTTTGGAAATTGTTAAATGTGAGTTTAGGTCATTTGTTGAATTTGAAATTTTGGCATTTTTTGAACTTAAGATTGTGGTGTTTGTTGAACTTGAGTTTGTGGCAATTGTTGAACTTGAGTCTGTATTTTTCCCTGAACTTTAGTTTGAATTTTTGTGTGTTTTTTGAAGTTAAGTTTGTGGCAATTGTTAAACTTGAGATTTGGGTGTTGGTTGAACTTGAGTTTGTGGTGTTTTTGAACTTGAGTTTGTGTGTTTGTTTAACTTGAGTTTGTGGCGTGTTTTGACTTGAGTTTCTGTTGTTTTTGAACTTGAGGTTGTGGCAATTGTCAAACTTGAGATTTGGGATTTGGTTGAACTTGAGTTTGTGTCGTGTTTGAACTTTGGTTTGTGGTGCTTTTTAACTTGAGTTTGTGGCGGTGTTGAGCTTGAGTTTGTGGCGTGTTTTAACCTGAATTTTTGTTGTTTTTCTTACTTGAGGGTTCGGCAATTGTTAAACTTTAGATTTGGGTGTTGGTTGAACTTAAAACTTTGACATTTGTTGAACTTATGTATGTGGTGTTCATTGAACTTCAGTTTGTGTCTTGTTTGAACTTGACTTTGTGGTGTTTTTGAACTTGAGTTGGTGGTGTTTTTGAACTTGAGTTGGTGGAAATTGTTGAACTTGAGAATTGGGTGTTGGTTGAACTTGAGTTTGTGGTGTTTTTGAACTTGAGTTTGAGTTTGTTTGTTTGTTTGTTTGTTGAACTTGAGTTCGTGGCGTGTTTGAACTTGAGTTTGTGTTCTTTTTGAACTTGAGGTTGTGAAAATTGTTAAACTCGCCCTCCTTGAGCCATCATGAAGGCGGAGGTGGCGGGGGTAGAGCAGCAATGAACAAACCCCCCCTGGAACAGGAGCGCTTTAAGGACAGCGGAGCAATTAGCTGGCACGAGGGTGGAGCTGGTGTGGCAGTGTGTTGCTGGTTTGCTGTCAGAGCAGAGGAAGAGGCTGGGTTAGTGCAGTTTTAAATAAGGCACTCTATAGGCAAAGAACCAATAGGATCTAGGTGTGAATCAGCTGATTATCATCTGGTTGAGGTGGCTACTAGCCATTGGCTGTGGATCAGCGCTTGACGTTGTGTCCTGACAGAACTAACGCTATGCTTCATTTCAGTCAGGTACACTTTGTCCAAATTTTTAGCTTTATTGTGCAAGTTAGATTTGGCGGCATGATTCTGTTCCGGGTCCCTGCCCTTCCACACGCTTGTGTGGAAGCCCAAGGCAGGAAGAGCCCCTTCCTGCCTTTCACGAGCCATCATGAAAGGCGATAGCAGGGAGCGCACGCGAGGTTCTGTTCAGGGCCCCCGTTCTCCACGTTGGCAGGGGTGAAAGGCCAGCGGCAGGAAGAGCATCTTCCCGCCCTCCACGTGCCATCATGAAGGCGGAGGAGGCAGGGGTAGAGCAGCAATGAACAGAACCCCCCAAAAACAACCATGCCGTGCAGTCTAGGAGCTAGCAGGGGAGGTGAGCGCTGCTGAAAGAAAGACGGGTTAGAGAGACCCGTTGCCCAAGCATGGATATTTATCTGCAGGTTGTTTATATATTTCATTTAATTAGCATCTATGTGCCAAAGTTATGGGTACTCATAGTTTTTGGGCTTCGAGAATGTCCCGAGCCTCGGGGCGCAGATAGCGTTTGTACGCAGCTGACGACTATTGGCCCATGGCTTTGAGGGTCGACACAGGAGCCGTCATAGCTGCGGTTGTAGCTGCACCTATGTGAAAGGAATGAGCCGTGTAGCGATCTGAAGGATGTGTGGAGGGCGATCAGCTAAGCTGTCATCTGACTGAGGGCTAGCTTAAGATCAGCTGGCTTTAACCTTTAGCTTGACTGTACCTTGTGTCCTGCCTGAACTACAGCCATGCTTAATTTCAGTCAGGACTACTTTAGTTAGAATCAATTATTTATTACTAGCAAAAATTTTTTTAACATTGTCGGTATGGCTCTGTTCTGAGAGTTCCCTGCTCTCTCATGCGCTTGCATAGAATCCCAAGGCAATGAGAGGGAATGCCCTCCCCTCCCTTTCATGTGCATATATGAAAAGCCAAGGCAGAAAAAGCAGCAGCCATACTGGCAACCCTCCCCAGCTTTCATGAGCTACATGAAGGCACCTACGGGGGAGGGAGGGCAGCCAGCAGCGAGAAACTATGAAGCAACCTACCCACCTACAAAGCTTGCATAGTATTGGTTACCCTCACAACATGATCATGGATCAGGATTAATTTAATCCATACACAAATTTATAGTTGGGAATATGCGTAATGCAATAGATATGGGAAAGAATTAAGGAGCAGCAGCAATTTTTTTTTTTTTGTAGCTAATCGAGCATAGGAATATTCTAATAATAATAATAATAATATATTAGCCTTGGGCCTGAGGTATCATTCAAAGGCTGATCGGGACCATTGACCCGTAGCCTTGAGCGTCGAGACGGGGACGATGGAAGATGCAGTTGTAGCTGTGCCTATGCGTGGTGAATGCGTAGAGTTGTACTCAGGTAGGAGCCAACAGGATTGGCAGAGCAGGCAGAAAGCTGCAATCTGGATATAGGTTTCCCTTCTTCAGTGGCAAAGAGAGACTCTTGCTGGCTGGCCAGTGGCCGGCCTCTCAGGCAGCGGGACATGGAGGATAAAGAACAAAGACAGAGTTAGTTTTGGAAATATTAGAAAAAAAAAAAGTGCGAGATTCAAAACTGTGGACTATTAAAGCACATACAATGGATATATTTAGGGCGTTGGGGCTACAGAGAAGGTGGTACAAAAGAGGTAAAGTGAGACCATGCAGAATCGTATAAACTTTAATGCTGATTTTGCTTAACCAGCTCTCAAGTAGCTGTCAACAGAGAGCACTAAGGATTGCAAGGCTGCACTCAGACTAACACAGTCTGAATGAATGGCTTCACGAACAGCCGTTGGAATGCTTTGCCAGTGCCTTCCCCGGCTCAAGGACATTTGACAGAGTAGACAGCTTTGTTCTTTCCCGTTTTACCAGGTGGGTGCGTCATGGGCATGCTGATTTCAGATGCCCGTCCCTGGAGTAACTTGGCTTCTCCGAGTAGTAGGCTTAGAGAGGCTTGGGTGGTTGGCCTGTAGCCACAGTTTTAGGGCACCGATTAGAGGTGTGGGCAGGGGTGGACAAGGTAGGATAAGGTTCCTCCAGGTACTGTACCCGTAGACTTTGTACAAGAGGAGCACACCCAAGTTAAGCGAGTTGCTGACTCCGATGCCACAGTATCATCATCTGCTGTATCTCTCTCTTAAACATAAAATTATTATTATTATTATTATTATTATTATTATTATTATTTTCCTCTGCATTTTGTCTTATTTCTGCATTAAGATTGAAGCAGCTGACTCTTTAAAAGTTCCCTCCTTCCGCAAAAGGCGGAAGGCGGGCCCCTGCACCTAGGCAACCAGCGTCCAATCAAAAGTGCGCACTGGTGCTCCCACTTGGAGTTTATTTGTAAGCAAATACCACTCACTCTCAAGCGGCATGGTCCTATTGGATTACTTCGGTTATAACGCAGAGTGCAGACTGATGTGCAGCAACAGACTAAGCCTAGATACATGACAGGGGTGAAAACTTTAAACAGCTGATTATGTCTTCCCGAAATGGCGTACTGCTGCGTAATGGCTTACTTTCACCTCCAGGTGAGAGAAAGACCCGCAGATTAAGCAGGAAAAAGCTTGATGCTCGGTGAGTTGTTAACTGATTAGAGCCAGGTCGACTACGGACTGATCAAGTCTTTGGCTGAATCTTTGAATGTACTTAGCAGCTTTGCTGAAAATGATTTGTAATGTTCCTAGAATAATGATCCTCCCTATGTCATGGCTGAATCAGAAATAATGGCGAGATATGTGTCCAGTTCAGTTCTGCGTGCTGAAAACACTTTACATATGACATCTACAAATACGCTGAAAGCTATGAATTCAGCCAAGGTCGGAGATTTAAACAGCCGGGCATCACGATATTTAAGCATCACAGGCTCATCTCCGCAATCCACAATGCGTCTATCATTGTAGTCTGAGCACAGCAAGACTAATGTCAGTACCTGCAAGGATTTGGCTCCGCGGATTAGGTGTAATTGCAGCCGCGACCAGGTCGCGTCGCGTCGCGTGGTGCTCTGGTGTGTTCACACCGGGTCCAAAGCTGCGGTCGCAGGACACGGCTGGTCGCTGCTGACCCGCTTCTCCTACCTTCCATCTCCCTCCTTTTCTCCCTCATATATACATCCCGCAGCCCAGTTCAAATATTTGAACTTTGGGAGCGACGAGACTTGGCGTCCTGCGACCTCGGCAACGCAACCTCGGCAACGCGACGCAGGTAGCCAGCGGTCGCCAAGTCGCGTCAGGTCGCGGCTGTCCATAGACTTTGCATTGGGAGCCATCGCCGACGTCACCGAAGTAGCGTTTGGTCTGAACACCCCTTAACGCTGAGCTTCATATTTGGGTATTGGTTGACTTGAGTTTCTGTGTTTGTTGAACTTGAGTTTGTGACATGTTTGAACTTGAATTTGTGGTGTTTTTGAACTTGAGTTTGTGTGTTTGTTGAACTTGAGTTTTAGGCGTGTTTGAACTTGAGTTTGTGTTGTTTTTGAACTTGAGGTTTTGGCAAATGTTAAACTTGAGATTTGGGTGTTGGTTGAACTTGAGTTTGTGTCGTATTTGAACTTGATTTTTTGCAATTTTTGAACTTGAGTTTGTTGAACTTGAGGTTGTGGAAATTGTTAAACTTGAGAATTGGGTATTGATTGAACTTGAGTTTGTGTGTTTGTTGAACTTGAGGTTGTGGCAATTGTTAAACTTGAGATTTGGGTGTTGGTTGAACTTCAAACTTTGGAATTTGTTGATCTTGAGTTTGTGGTGTTCGTTGAACTTCAGTTTCAGCATTTTTTTAACTTGAGTTTGTGTGTTTTTGAACTTGAGTTTGTGGCAATTTTTGAACTTGAGTTTGTTGAACTTGAGTTTTTGGCAATTGTTAAATGTGAGTTTAGGTCATTTGTTGAACTTGAGTTTGTGGCAATTGTTGAACTTGAGCCTGTATTTTTCACTGAACTTTAGTTTGTAGCGTTTGTTGTACTTGAGTTTGTGGCGTTTGTTGTACTTGAGTTTGTGTCTTGTTTGAACTTGAGTTGGGGGTGTTTTTGAACTTTAGGTTGTGGCAATTGTTGAACTTGAGGATTGTGTGTTTGTTGAACTTGAGTTTGTCTCGTGTTTGAACTTGAGTTTCTGTTGTTTTTGAACTTGAGGTTGTTGAAATTGTTAAACTTGAGATTATGGTTTTGGTTGAACTTAAAACTTTTACATTTGTTGAACTTGAGTTTGTGGCGTGTTTGAACTTGAGTTTCTGTTGTTTTTGAACTTGCGGTTTTGGATATTGTTTAATTTGAGATTTGAGTGTTGGTTGAACTTGACTTTGTCATGTTTGAACTTGAGTTTGTGGTGTTATTGAACTAGAGTTTGTGTGTTTTTTGAACTTAAGTTTTCTGTCAATTGTTGAACTTGAGTTTATGGTTTTTAGTGAACTTTACTTGGTGGAAGTTGTTGAACTTGAGTTTGTGGGGTTTGTTGAACTTGAGCATGTGTTGTGTTTGAACTTGAGTTTGAGGGGTTTGTTGAGCTTGAGCTTGTGTCGTGTTTGAACTTGAGTTTGTGGTGTTTTTGAACTTGAGTCTGTGTTGCTTTTGAACTTGAGGTTGTGGAAATTGTTAAACTTGAGAATTGGGTATTGGCTGAACTTGAGTTTTTGAACTTGAGTTTGTGTCATGTTTGAACTTGAGTTTGTTGTGTGTTTGAACTTGAGTTTCTGTTGTTTTTGAACTTGAGGTTGTGGCAATTGTTAAACTTGAGATTTGGGTGTTGGTTGAACTTGAGTTTGTGTCGTGTTTGATCTTGAGTTCTTGTTGTTTGTTGAACTTGAGTTTGTGTGTTTTTTGAACTTGAGTTTGTGTCTGGTTTGAACTTGAGTTTGTGGTGTTTTTGAACTTAGGTTTGTGGCAATTGTTAAACTTGAGATTTGGGTGTTGGTTGAACTTGGGTTTTTGGCGTGTTTTAACTTGAGTTTCTGTCGTTTTTGAACTTGAGGTTGTGGAAATTGTTGAACTTGAGATTTGGGATTTGGTTGAACTTGACTTTGTTTCATGTTTGAACTTCAGTTTGGGGTGTTTTTGAACTTGAGCTTGTGTGTTTTTTGAACTTGAGTTTGTGTTGTTAAGAAATTGAGTTTGTGGTGTTTTTGAACTTGAGTTTGTGTGTTTGTTGAACTTGAAGTTGTGGAAATTGTTAAACTTGATATTTGGGTGTTGGTTGAACTTCAAACTTTGAAATTTGTTGATCTTGAGTTTGTGGTGTTCGTTGAACTTCAGTTTCGGCAGTTTTTTAACTTGAGTTTGTGTGTTTTTGAACTTGAGTTTGTGGCAATTGTTGAACTTGAGTCTGTATTTTTCACTGAACTTTAGTTTGTAGCGTTTGTTGTACTTGAGTTTGTGTCTTGTTTGAACTTGAGTTGGGGGTGTTTCTGAACTTTAGGTTGTGGCAATTGTTGAACTTGAGGATTGTGTGTTTGTTGAACTTGAGTTTGTGGTGTGTTTGAACTTGAGTTTCTGTTGTTTTTGAACTTGCGGTTTTGGATATTGTTTAATTTGAGATTTGAGTGTTGGTTGAACTTGACTTTGTCATGTTTGAACATGAGTTTGTGGTGTTTTTGAACTAGAGTTTGTGTGTTTTTTGAACTTAAGTTTTCTGTCAATTGTTGAACTTGAGTTTATGGTTTTTAGTGAACTTTACTTGGTGGCAATTTTTGAACTTGAGTTTGTTGAACTTGAGTTTTTGGCAATTGTTAAATGTGAGTTTAGGTCATTTGTTGAACTTGAGTTTGTGGCAATTGTTGAACTTGAGCCTGTATTTTTCACTGAACTTTAGTTTGTAGCGTTTGTTGTACTTGAGTTTGTGGCGTTTGTTGTACTTGAGTTTGTGTCTTGTTTGAACTTGAGTTGGGGGTGTTTTTGAACTTTAGGTTGTGGCAATTGTTGAACTTGAGGATTGTGTGTTTGTTGAACTTGAGTTTGTCTCGTGTTTGAACTTGAGTTTCTGTTGTTTTTGAACTTGAGGTTGTTGAAATTGTTAAACTTGAGATTATGGTTTTGGTTGAACTTAAAACTTTTACATTTGTTGAACTTGAGTTTGTGGCGTGTTTGAACTTGAGTTTCTGTTGTTTTTGAACTTGCGGTTTTGGATATTGTTTAATTTGAGATTTGAGTGTTGGTTGAACTTGACTTTGTCATGTTTGAACTTGAGTTTGTGGTGTTTTTGAACTAGAGTTTGTGTGTTTTTTGAACTTAAGTTTTCTGTCAATTGTTGAACTTGAGTTTATGGTTTTTAGTGAACTTTACTTGGTGGAAGTTGTTGAACTTGAGTTTGTGGGGTTTGTTGAACTTGAGCATGTGTTGTGTTTGAACTTGAGTTTGAGGGGTTTGTTGAGCTTGAGCTTGTGTCGTGTTTGAACTTGAGTTTGTGGTGTTTTTGAACTTGAGTCTGTGTTGCTTTTGAACTTGAGGTTGTGGAAATTGTTAAACTTGAGAATTGGGTATTGGCTGAACTTGAGTTTTTGAACTTGAGTTTGTGTCATGTTTGAACTTGAGTTTGTTGTGTGTTTGAACTTGAGTTTCTGTTGTTTTTGAACTTGAGGTTGTGGCAATTGTTAAACTTGAGATTTGGGTGTTGGTTGAACTTGAGTTTGTGTCGTGTTTGATCTTGAGTTCTTGTTGTTTGTTGAACTTGAGTTTGTGTGTTTTTTTAACTTGAGTTTGTGTCTGGTTTGAACTTGAGTTTGTGGTGTTTTTGAACTTAGGTTTGTGGCAATTGTTAAACTTGAGATTTGGGTGTTGGTTGAACTTGGGTTTTTGGCGTGTTTTAACTTGAGTTTCTGTCGTTTTTGAACTTGAGGTTGTGGAAATTGTTGAACTTGAGATTTGGGATTTGGTTGAACTTGACTTTGTTTCATGTTTGAACTTCAGTTTGGGGTGTTTTTGAACTTGAGCTTGTGTGTTTTTTGAACTTGAGTTTGTGTTGTTAAGAAATTGAGTTTGTGGTGTTTTTGAACTTGAGTTTGTGTGTTTGTTGAACTTGAAGTTGTGGAAATTGTTAAACTTGATATTTGGGTGTTGGTTGAACTTCAAACTTTGAAATTTGTTGATCTTGAGTTTGTGGTGTTCGTTGAACTTCAGTTTCGGCAGTTTTTTAACTTGAGTTTGTGTGTTTTTGAACTTGAGTTTGTGGCAATTGTTGAACTTGAGTCTGTATTTTTCACTGAACTTTAGTTTGTAGCGTTTGTTGTACTTGAGTTTGTGTCTTGTTTGAACTTGAGTTGGGGGTGTTTCTGAACTTTAGGTTGTGGCAATTGTTGAACTTGAGGATTGTGTGTTTGTTGAACTTGAGTTTGTGGTGTGTTTGAACTTGAGTTTCTGTTGTTTTTGAACTTGCGGTTTTGGATATTGTTTAATTTGAGATTTGAGTGTTGGTTGAACTTGACTTTGTCATGTTTGAACATGAGTTTGTGGTGTTTTTGAACTAGAGTTTGTGTGTTTTTTGAACTTAAGTTTTCTGTCAATTGTTGAACTTGAGTTTATGGTTTTTAGTGAACTTTACTTGGTGGCAGTTGTTGAACTTGAGTTTGTGGGGTTTGTTGAACTTGAGCATGTGTCGTGTTTGAACTTGAGTCTGTGTTGCTTTTGAACTTGAGGTTGTGGAAATTGTCAAACTTGAGAATTGGGTATTGGCTGTACTTGACTTTTTGAACTTGAGTTTGTGTCATGTTTGAACTTGAGTTTGTTGTGTGTTTGAACTTGAGTTGATTTGTTTGATGAACTTTAGGTTGTGGCATTTGTTAAACTTGAGATTTGAGTGTTGGTTCAACTTGAGTTTGTGTCGTGTTTGAACTTGAGTTCGTGTTGTTTGTTGAACTTGAGTTTGTGTGTTTTTTGAAATTGAGGTTGTGAAAATTTATAAACTTGAGAATCAGGTGTTGGTTGAACTTGAGTTTGTGCCGTGTTTGAACTTGAGTTTGTGGTGTATTTGAACTTGAGTTCGTGTGTTTGTTGAACTTGAGGTTGTGGCAATTGTAAAACTTGAGATTTGTGTGTTGGTTGTACTTGAGTTTGTGTGTTTTTTGAACTTGAGTTTGTGGTGTTTTTGAACTTGAGTTTGTGTGTTTTTTGAACTTGAGTTTGTATGTTTGTTGAACTTGAGTTTGTGTTGTGTTTGAACTTGAATTTGTGGTATTTTTGAACTTGAGTTTTTTTTCATATTTAAACTTGAGTTTGTGGCGTGTTTGAACTTGAGTTTGTGGTGTTTTTGAACTTGAGGGTGTGTAATTTTTTGAACTTGAGGTTGTGGGAATTGTTAAACTTGAGTTTGTGTGTTTGTTGAACTTGAGTTTGTGTCGTGTTTGAACTTGAGTATGTGTGTTTGTTGAACTTGAGTTTGTCTCGTGTTTGAACTTGAGTTTCTGTTGTTTTTGAACTTGAGGTTGTGGAAATTGTTAAACTTTAGATTTGAGTGTTGGTTCAACTTGAGTTTGTGTCGTGTTTGAACTTGAGTTAGTGGTGTGTTTGAACTTGCGTTTGTGTGTTTTTTTGAACTTGAGGTTGTGGCAATTGTTAAACTTGAGATTTGGGTGTTGGTTGAACTTGAGTTTGTGTCGTGTTTGATCTTGAGTTCTTGTTGTTTGTTGAACTTGAGTTTGTGTGTTTTTTGAACTTGAGGTTGTGAAAATTTTTAAACTTGAGAATCAGGTGTTGGTTGAATTTGAGTTTGTGGTTTTTGTTGAACTTGAGTTTGTGTACAACTTGAGTTGTAGTGTTTTTGAACTTGAGTCTGTGTTGTATTTGAACTGGAGGTTGTGGAAATTGTTAAACTTGAGATTTGGGTGTTGGTTGAACTTGAGTTTGTGTGTTTGTTGAACTTGAGCTTGTTTCGTGTTTGAACTTGAGTTCGTGTCATGTTTGAACTTGAGTTTGTGGTGTTTTTGAACTTGAGTTTGTGGTGTGTTTGAACTTGAGTTTGTGTGTTTTGTTGAACTTGAGGTTGTTGCAATTTTTAAACTTGAGATTTGGGAATTGGTTAAACTTGAGTTATTGTGTTTGTTGAACTTGAGTTCGTGTCGTGTTTGAACTTGAGTTTGTGGTGTTTTTGAACTTGAGTTTGTGTGTTGGTTGAACTTGAGTTTGTGTTGTGTTTGAACTTGAGTTTGTATTGTGTTTGAGCTTGAGTTTGTGGTGTTTTTGAACTTGAGTTTATGATATGTTTGAACTTGAGGTTGTGGAAATTGTTTAACTTCAGAATTGAGTATTTTTTTGAACTTGAGTTTTTTTTGTTTTTGAACTTGAGTTTGTGTCGTGTTTAAACTTGAGTTTGTCGTGTGTTTGAACTTGAGTTTGTGTGTTTTTTGAACTTGAGGTTGTGGCAATTGTTAAACTTGAGATATGGGTTGTGGTTGAACTTGAGTTTGTGGTTTTTGGTAGACCTGAGTTTGTGTCGTGTTTGAACTTGAGTTTGTGGTGTTTTTGAACTTGAGTTTGTTTCGTGTTTGAACTTGAGTTTTTGGCATTTGTTGAACTTGAGTTTGTGAAAATTTTTAAACTTGAGAATCAGGTGTTGGTTGAACTTGAGTTTGTGGTTTTTGGTAGACCTGAGTTTGTGTCGTGTTTGAACTTGAGTTTGTGGTGTTTTTGAATTTGAGTCTGTGTTGTTTTTGAACTTGACGTTTTGGAAATTGTTAAACTTGAGAATTGGGTGTTGGTTGAACTTGAGTCATTGTTGTTTTTGAATTTGAGTTTGTGTCGTGTTTGATCTTGAGTTTGTGGCGTGTTTGAACTTGAGTTTGTGGTGTTTTTGAACTTGAGGGTGTGTAATTTTTTGAACTTGAGGTTGTGGGAATTGTTAAACTTGAGTTTGTGTGTTTGTTGAACTTGAGTTTGTGTCGTGTTTGAACTTGAGTATGTGTGTTTGTTGAACTTGAGTTTGTCTTGTGTTTGAACTTGAGTTTCTGTTGTTTTTGAACTTGAGGTTGTGGAAATTGTTAAACTTTAGATTTGAGTGTTGGTTCAACTTGAGTTTGTGTCGTGTTTGAACTTGAGCTTGTTTCGTGTTTGAACTTGAGTTCGTGTCATGTTTGAACTTGAGTTTGTGGTGTTTTTGAACTTGAGTTTGTGGTGTGTTTGAACTTGAGTTTGTGTGTTTTGTTGAACTTGAGGTTGTTGCAATTTTTAAACTTGAGATTTGGGAATTGGTTAAACTTGAGTTATTGTGTTTGTTGAACTTGAGTTCGTGTCGTGTTTGAACTTGAGTTTGTGGTGTTTTTGAACTTGAGTTTGTGTGTTGGTTGAACTTGAGTTTGTGTTGTGTTTGAACTTGAGTTTGTGTTGTGTTTGAACTTGAGCTTGTGTTGTGTTTGAGCTTGAGTTTGTGGTGTTTTTGAACTTGAGTTTATGATATGTTTGAACTTGAGGTTGTGGAAATTGTTTAACTTCAGAATTGAGTATTTTTTTGAACTTGAGTTTTTTTTGTTTTTGAACTTGAGTTTGTGTCGTGTTTAAACTTGAGTTTGTCGTGTGTTTGAACTTGAGTTTGTGTGTTTTTTGAACTTGAGGTTGTGGCAATTGTTAAACTTGAGATATGGGTTGTGGTTGAACTTGAGTTTGTGGTTTTTGGTAGACCTGAGTTTGTGTCGTGTTTGAACTTGAGTTTGTGGTGTTTTTGAACTTGAGTTTGTTTCGTGTTTGAACTTGAGTTTTTGGCATTTGTTGAACTTGAGTTTGTGAAAATTTTTAAACTTGAGAATCAGGTGTTGGTTGAACTTGAGTTTGTGGTTTTTGGTAGAGCTGAGTTTGTGTCGTGTTTGAACTTGAGTTTGTGGTGTTTTTGAACTTGAGTTTGTGGTGTTTTTGAACTTGAGTTTGTGGTGTTTTTGAACTTGAGTTTGTGTGTTGGTTGAACTTGAGTTTGTGTTGTGTATGAACTTGAGTTTGTGTTGTGTTTGAGCTTGAGTTTGTGTTGTGTTTGAGCTTGAGTTTGTGGTGTTTTTGAACTTGGGTTTATGATATGTTTGAACTTGAGGTTGTGGAATTTGTTTAACTTCAGAATTGAGTATTTTTTTGAACTTGAGTTTTTTTTGTTTTTGAACTTGAGTTTGTGTCGTGTTTAAACTTGAGTTTGTCGTGTGTTTGAACTTGAGTTTGTGTGTTTTTTGAACTTGAGGTTGTGGCAATTGTTAAACTTGAGATATGGGTTGTGGTTGAACTTGAGTTTGTGGTTTTTGGTAGACCTGAGTTTGTGTCGTGTTTGAACTTGAGTTTGTGGTGTTTTTGAACTTGAGTTTGTTTCGTGTTTGAAATTGAGTTTTTGGCATTTGTTGAACTTGAGTTTGTGAAAATTTTTAAACTTGAGAATCAGGTGTTGGTTGAACTTGAGTTTGTGGTTTTTGGTAGACCTGAGTTTGTGTCGTGTTTGAACTTGAGTTTGTGGTGTTTTTGAACTTGAGTTTGTGGTGTTTTTGAACTTGAGTTTGTGTGTTGGTTGAACTTGAGTTTGTGTTGTGTTTGAACTTGAGTTTGTGTTGTGTTTGAGCTTGAGTTTGTGTTGTGTTTGAGCTTGAGTTTGTGGTGTTTTTGAACTTGGGTTTATGATATGTTTGAACTTGAGGTTGTGGAAATTGTTTAACTTCAGAATTGAGTATTTTTTTGAACTTGAGTTTTTTTTGTTTTTGAACTTGAGTTTGTGTCGTGTTTAAACTTGAGTTTGTCGTGTGTTTGAACTTGAGTTTGTGTGTTTTTTGAACTTGAGGTTGTGGCAATTGTTAAACTTGAGATATGGGTTGTGGTTGAACTTGAGTTTGTGGTTTTTGGTAGACCTGAGTTTGTGTCGTGTTTGAACTTGAGTTTGTGGTGTTTTTGAACTTGAGTTTGTTTCGTGTTTGAACTTGAGTTTTTGGCATTTGTTGAACTTGAGTTTGTGAAAATTTTTAAACTTGAGAATCAGGTGTTGGTTGAACTTGAGTTTGTGGTTTTTGGTAGACCTGAGTTTGTGTCGTGTTTGAACTTGAGTTTGTGGTGTTTTTGAACTTGAGTCTGTGTTGTTTTTGAACTTGACGTTTTGGAAACTGTTAAACTTGAGAATTGGGTGTTGGTTGAACTTGAGTCATTGTTGTTTTTGAATTTGAGTTTGTGTCGTGTTTGATCTTGAGTTTGTGGTGTTTTTGAACTTGAGTTTGCATGTTTGGTGAACTTGAGTTTGTGGTTTTTTTTATTTGAGTTTGTGGTGTTTTTGAACTTGACTTTGTTTCGTGTTTGAACTTGAGTTCCTGGTGTTTGTTGAACTTGACTTTGTGTTGTGTTTGTACTTGAGTTTTTGGTTTTTTTGAACTTGAGTTTGTGGTTTTTTTTAACTTGAGTTTGTGGTTTTTTTTAACTTGAGGTTGTGGACATTGCTGAACTTGAGAATTGGGTATTGGTTGAACTTGAGTTTTTTGTGTTTTTGAACTTGAGTTTGTTGTGTTTTTGAATTGAGTTTTTGGTGTTTGTGAACTTGAATTTGGGTATTTGGTGAACTTGAGTTGATGTGTTTTTTGAACTTGAGTTTCTGTTGTTTTTGAACTTGAGGTTGTGGAAATTGTTAAACCTTAGAATCAGGTGTTGGTTGAAATTGAGTTTGTGGTTTTTGGTAGACCTGAATTTGTGTCGTGTTTGAACTTGAGTTGCGTGTTTGGTTAACTTGACTTTGTGTGTTTTTTTAACTTGAGTTTCTGTTTGTTTTTGAACTTGAGGTTGTGGAAATTGTTAAACTCGAGAATCAGGTGTTGGTTGAACTTGAGTTAGTCTGTTTGTTGAACTTGAGTTTTTTTGTCGTGTTTGAACTTGAGTTTGTGGTGTTTTTGAACTTGAGTTTTAGTGTTTGTTGAACTTGAGTTTCTGTTGTGTTTAAACTAGAGTTGCGTGGTTGGTGAACTTGAGTTTGTGTGTTTTTTGAACTTGAGTTTCTGTTGTTTTTGAACTTGAGGTTGTGGAAATGGTTAAACTTGAGAATCAGGTGTTGGTTGAACTTGAGTTGCGTGTTTGTTGAACTTGAGTTTGTGCCGTGTTTGAACTGGAGTTTGTGTCGTTTTTGAACTTGAGTTTGTGTGTTTGTTGAACTTGAGTTTGTGTTGTGTTTGAACTGGAGTTTGTGTCGTGTTTGAACTTGAGTTTGTTTCGTGTTTGGTGAACTTGAGATTGTGTGATTATTGAACTTGAGTTTCTTTTTTTTTTTAACTTGAGGTTGTGGAAAAGGTTAAACTTGAGAATCAGGTTTTGGTTGAACTTGAGTTGCGTGTTTGGTGAACTTGAGTTTGTATTGTCTTTGAATTTGAGTTTTTGGTGTTTTTGAACTTGAGTTTGTGTGTTTGTTGAACTTGAGTTTGTGTTTTTTTTAACTTGAGTTTTTTGTGTTTTTGAACTTGAGTTTGTTGTGTTTTTGAATTGAGTTTTTGGTGTTTGTGAACTTGAATTTGGGTATTTGGTGAACTTGAGTTGATGTGTTTTTTGAACTTGAGTTTCTGTTGTTTTTGAACTTGAGGTTGTGGAAATTGTTAAACCTTAGAATCAGGTGTTGGTTGAAATTGAGTTTGTGGTTTTTGGTAGACCTGAATTTGTGTCGTGTTTGAACTTGAGTTGCGTGTTTGGTTAACTTGACTTTGTGTGTTTTTTTAACTTGAGTTTCTGTTTGTTTTTGAACTTGAGGTTGTGGAAATTGTTAAACTCGAGAATCAGGTGTTGGTTGAACTTGAGTTAGTCTGTTTGTTGAACTTGAGTTTTTTGTCGTGTTTGAACTTGAGTTTGTGGTGTTTTTGAACTTGAGTTTTAGTGTTTGTTGAACTTGAGTTTCTGTTGTGTTTAAACTAGAGTTGCGTGGTTGGTGAACTTGAGTTTGTGTGTTTTTTTAACTTGAGTTTCTGTTGTTTTTGAACTTGAGGTTGTGGAAATTGTTAAACCTTAGAATCAGGTGTTGGTTGAAATTGAGTTTGTGGTTTTTGGTAGACCTGAATTTGTGTCGTGTTTGAACTTGAGTTGCGTGTTTGGTTAACTTGACTTTGTGTGTTTTTTGAACTTGAGTTTCTGTTTGTTTTTGAACTTGAGGTTGTGGAAATTGTTAAACTCGAGAATCAGGTGTTGGTTGAACTTGAGTTAGTCTGTTTGTTGAACTTGAGTGTTTTGTCGTGTTTGAACTTGAGTTTGTGGTGTTTTTGAACTTGAGTTTTAGTGTTTGTTGAACTTGAGTTTCTGTTGTGTTTAAACTAGAGTTGCGTGGTTGGTGAACTTGAGTTTGTGTGTTTTTTGAACTTGAGTTTGTGTCTGGTTTGAACTTGAGTTTGTGGTGTTTTTGAACTTAGGTTTGTGGCAATTGTTAAACTTGAGATTTGGGTGTTGGTTGAACTTGGGTTTTTGGCGTGTTTTAACTTGAGTTTCTGTCGTTTTTGAACTTGAGGTTGTGGAAATTGTTGAACTTCAGATTTGGGATTTGGTTGAACTTGACTTTGTTTCATGTTTGAACTTCAGTTTGGGGTGTTTTTGAACTTGAGCTTGTGTGTTTTTTGAACTTGAGTTTGTGTTGGTTGAACTTGAGTTTGTGTGTTTGTTGAACTTGAGCTTGTTTCGTGTTTGAACTTGAGTTTGTTGTGTGTTTGAACTTGAGTTTCTGTTGTTTTTGAACTTGAGGTTGTGGCAATTGTTAAACTTGAGATTTGGGTGTTGGTTGAACTTGAGTTTGTGTCGTGTTTGATCTTGAGTTCTTGTTGTTTGTTGAACTTGAGTTTGTGTGTTTTTTGAACTTGAGTTTGTGTCTGGTTTGAACTTGAGTTTGTGGTGTTTTTGAACTTAGGTTTGTGGCAATTGTTAAACTTGAGATTTGGGTGTTGGTTGAACTTGGGTTTTTGGCGTGTTTTAACTTGAGTTTCTGTCGTTTTTGAACTTGAGGTTGTGGAAATTGTTGAACTTGAGATTTGGGATTTGGTTGAACTTGACTTTGTTTCATGTTTGAACTTCAGTTTGGGGTGTTTTTGAACTTGAGCTTGTGTGTTTTTTGAACTTGAGTTTGTGTTGTTAAGAAATTGAGTTTGTGGTGTTTTTGAACTTGAGTTTGTGTGTTTGTTGAACTTGAAGTTGTGGAAATTGTTAAACTTGATATTTGGGTGTTGGTTGAACTTCAAACTTTGAAATTTGTTGATCTTGAGTTTGTGGTGTTCGTTGAACTTCAGTTTCGGCAGTTTTTTAACTTGAGTTTGTGTGTTTTTGAACTTGAGTTTGTGGCAATTGTTGAACTTGAGTCTGTATTTTTCACTGAACTTTAGTTTGTAGCGTTTGTTGTACTTGAGTTTGTGTCTTGTTTGAACTTGAGTTGGGGGTGTTTCTGAACTTTAGGTTGTGGCAATTGTTGAACTTGAGGATTGTGTGTTTGTTGAACTTGAGTTTGTGGTGTGTTTGAACTTGAGTTTCTGTTGTTTTTGAACTTGCGGTTTTGGATATTGTTTAATTTGAGATTTGAGTGTTGGTTGAACTTGACTTTGTCATGTTTGAACATGAGTTTGTGGTGTTTTTGAACTAGAGTTTGTGTGTTTTTTGAACTTAAGTTTTCTGTCAATTGTTGAACTTGAGTTTATGGTTTTTAGTGAACTTTACTTGGTGGCAGTTGTTGAACTTGAGTTTGTGGGGTTTGTTGAACTTGAGCATGTGTCGTGTTTGAACTTGAGTCTGTGTTGCTTTTGAACTTGAGGTTGTGGAAATTGTCAAACTTGAGAATTGGGTATTGGCTGTACTTGACTTTTTGAACTTGAGTTTGTGTCATGTTTGAACTTGAGTTTGTTGTGTGTTTGAACTTGAGTTGATTTGTTTGATGAACTTTAGGTTGTGGCATTTGTTAAACTTGAGATTTGAGTGTTGGTTCAACTTGAGTTTGTGTCGTGTTTGAACTTGAGTTCGTGTTGTTTGTTGAACTTGAGTTTGTGTGTTTTTTGAAATTGAGGTTGTGAAAATTTATAAACTTGAGAATCAGGTGTTGGTTGAACTTGAGTTTGTGCCGTGTTTGAACTTGAGTTTGTGGTGTATTTGAACTTGAGTTCGTGTGTTTGTTGAACTTGAGGTTGTGGCAATTGTAAAACTTGAGATTTGTGTGTTGGTTGTACTTGAGTTTGTGTGTTTTTTGAACTTGAGTTTGTGGTGTTTTTGAACTTGAGTTTGTGTGTTTTTTGAACTTGAGTTTGTATGTTTGTTGAACTTGAGTTTGTGTTGTGTTTGAACTTGAATTTGTGGTATTTTTGAACTTGAGTTTTTTTTCATATTTAAACTTGAGTTTGTGGCGTGTTTGAACTTGAGTTTGTGGTGTTTTTGAACTTGAGGGTGTGTAATTTTTTGAACTTGAGGTTGTGGGAATTGTTAAACTTGAGTTTGTGTGTTTGTTGAACTTGAGTTTGTGTCGTGTTTGAACTTGAGTATGTGTGTTTGTTGAACTTGAGTTTGTCTCGTGTTTGAACTTGAGTTTCTGTTGTTTTTGAACTTGAGGTTGTGGAAATTGTTAAACTTTAGATTTGAGTGTTGGTTCAACTTGAGTTTGTGTCGTGTTTGAACTTGAGTTTGTGGTGTGTTTGAACTTGCGTTTGTGTGTTTTTTTGAACTTGAGGTTGTGGCAATTGTTAAACTTGAGATTTGGGTGTTGGTTGAACTTGAGTTTGTGTCGTGTTTGATCTTGAGTTCTTGTTGTTTGTTGAACTTGAGTTTGTGTGTTTTTTGAACTTGAGGTTGTGAAAATTTTTAAACTTGAGAATCAGGTGTTGGTTGAATTTGAGTTTGTGGTTTTTGTTGAACTTGAGTTTGTGTACAACTTGAGTTGTAGTGTTTTTGAACTTGAGTCTGTGTTGTATTTGAACTGGAGGTTGTGGAAATTGTTAAACTTGAGATTTGGGTGTTGGTTGAACTTGAGTTTGTGTGTTTGTTGAACTTGAGCTTGTTTCGTGTTTGAACTTGAGTTCGTGTCATGTTTGAACTTGAGTTTGTGGTGTTTTTGAACTTGAGTTTGTGGTGTGTTTGAACTTGAGTTTGTGTGTTTTGTTGAACTTGAGGTTGTTGCAATTTTTAAACTTGAGATTTGGGAATTGGTTAAACTTGAGTTATTGTGTTTGTTGAACTTGAGTTCGTGTCGTGTTTGAACTTGAGTTTGTGGTGTTTTTGAACTTGAGTTTGTGTGTTGGTTGAACTTGAGTTTGTGTTGTGTTTGAACTTGAGCTTGTGTTGTGTTTGAGCTTGAGTTTGTGGTGTTTTTGAACTTGAGTTTATGATATGTTTGAACTTGAGGTTGTGGAAATTGTTTAACTTCAGAATCGAGTATTTTTTTGAACTTGAGTTTTTTTTGTTTTTGAACTTGAGTTTGTGTCGTGTTTAAACTTGAGTTTGTCGTGTGTTTGAACTTGAGTTTGTGTGTTTTTTGAACTTGAGGTTGTGGCAATTGTTAAACTTGAGATATGGGTTGTGGTTGAACTTGAGTTTGTGGTTTTTGGTAGACCTGAGTTTGTGTCGTGTTTGAACTTGAGTTTGTGGTGTTTTTGAACTTGAGTTTGTTTCGTGTTTGAACTTGAGTTTTTGGCATTTGTTGAACTTGAGTTTGTGAAAATTTTTAAACTTGAGAATCAGGTGTTGGTTGAACTTGAGTTTGTGGTTTTTGGTAGACCTGAGTTTGTGTCGTGTTTGAACTTGAGTTTGTGGTGTTTTTGAACTTGAGTTTGTGGTGTTTTTGAACTTGAGTTTGTGTGTTGGTTGAACTTGAGTTTGTGTTGTGTTTGAACTTGAGTTTGTGTTGTGTTTGAGCTTGAGTTTGTGTTGTGTTTGAGCTTGAGTTTGTGGTGTTTTTGAACTTGGGTTTATGATATGTTTGAACTTGAGGTTGTGGAAATTGTTTAACTTCAGAATTGAGTATTTTTTTGAACTTGAGTTTTTTTTGTTTTTGAACTTGAGTTTGTGTCGTGTTTAAACTTGAGTTTGTCGTGTGTTTGAACTTGAGTTTGTGTGTTTTTTGAACTTGAGGTTGTGGCAATTGTTAAACTTGAGATATGGGTTGTGGTTGAACTTGAGTTTGTGGTTTTTGGTAGACCTGAGTTTGTGTCGTGTTTGAACTTGAGTTTGTGGTGTTTTTGAACTTGAGTTTGTTTCGTGTTTGAACTTGAGTTTTTGGCATTTGTTGAACTTGAGTTTGTGAAAATTTTTAAACTTGAGAATCAGGTGTTGGTTGAACTTGAGTTTGTGGTTTTTGGTAGACCTGAGTTTGTGTCGTGTTTGAACTTGAGTTTGTGGTGTTTTTGAACTTGAGTCTGTGTTGTTTTTGAACTTGACGTTTTGGAAATTGTTAAACTTGAGAATTGGGTGTTGGTTGAACTTGAGTCATTGTTGTTTTTGAATTTGAGTTTGTGTCGTGTTTGATCTTGAGTTTGTGGTGTTTTTGAACTTGAGTTTGCATGTTTGGTGAACTTGAGTTTGTGTTTTTTTTATTTGAGTTTGTGGTGTTTTTGAACTTGACTTTGTTTCGTGTTTGAACTTGAGTTCCTGGCGTTTGTTGAACTTGACTTTGTGTTGTGTTTGTACTTGAGTTTTTGGTTTTTTTGAACTTGAGTTTGTGGTTTTTTTTAACTTGAGTTTGTGTTTTTTTTTAACTTGAGGTTGTGGACATTGCTGAACTTGAGAATTGGGTATTGGTTGAACTTGAGTTTTTTGTGTTTTTGAACTTGAGTTTGTTGTGTTTTTGAATTGAGTTTTTGGTGTTTGTGAACTTGAATTTGGGTATTTGGTGAACTTGAGTTGATGTGTTTTTTGAACTTGAGTTTCTGTTGTTTTTGAACTTGAGGTTGTGGAAATTGTTAAACCTTAGAATCAGGTGTTGGTTGAAATTGAGTTTGTGGTTTTTGGTAGACCTGAATTTGTGTCGTGTTTGAACTTGAGTTGCGTGTTTGGTTAACTTGACTTTGTGTGTTTTTTTAACTTGAGTTTCTGTTTGTTTTTGAACTTGAGGTTGTGGAAATTGTTAAACTCGAGAATCAGGTGTTGGTTGAACTTGAGTTAGTCTGTTTGTTGAACTTGAGTTTTTTGTCGTGTTTGAACTTGAGTTTGTGGTGTTTTTGAACTTGAGTTTTAGTGTTTGTTGAACTTGAGTTTCTGTTGTGTTTAAACTAGAGTTGCGTGGTTGGTGAACTTGAGTTTGTGTGTTTTTTGAACTTGAGTTTCTGTTGTTTTTGAACTTGAGGTTGTGGAAATTGTTAAACCTTAGAATCAGGTGTTGGTTGAAATTGAGTTTGTGGTTTTTGGTAGACCTGAATTTGTGTCGTGTTTGAACTTGAGTTGCGTGTTTGGTTAACTTGACTTTGTGTGTTTTTTGAACTTGAGTTTCTGTTTGTTTTTGAACTTGAGGTTGTGGAAATTGTTAAACTCGAGAATCAGGTGTTGGTTGAACTTGAGTTAGTCTGTTTGTTGAACTTGAGTTTTTTGTCGTGTTTGAACTTGATTTTGTGGTGTTTTTGAACTTGAGTTTTAGTGTTTGTTGAACTTGAGTTTCTGTTGTGTTTAAACTAGAGTTGCGTGGTTGGTGAACTTGAGTTTGTGTGTTTTTTGAACTTGAGTTTCTGTTGTTTTTGAACTTGAGGTTGTGGAAATGGTTAAACTTGAGAATCAGGTGTTGGTTGAACTTGAGTTGCGTGTTTGTTGAACTTGAGTTTGTGCCGTGTTTGAACTGGAGTTTGTGTCGTTTTTGAACTTGAGTTTGTGTGTTTGTTGAACTTGAGTTTGTGTTGTGTTTGAACTGGAGTTTGTGTCGTGTTTGAACTTGAGTTTGTTTCGTGTTTGGTGAACTTGAGATTGTGTGATTATTGAACTTGAGTTTCTTTTTTTTTTAACTTGAGGTTGTGGAAAAGGTTAAACTTGAGAATCAGGTTTTGGTTGAACTTGAGTTGCGTGTTTGGTGAACTTGAGTTTGTATTGTCTTTGAACTTGAGTTTTTGGTGTTTTTGAACTTGAGTTTGTGTGTTTGTTGAACTTGAGTTTGTGTTTTTTTTAACTTTAGTTTGTGGTGTTTTTGAACTTGAGTTTGTTGTGTTTTTGAATTGAGTTTTTGGTGTTTGTGAACTTGAATTTGGGTATTTGGTGAACTTGAGTTGATGTGTTTTTTGAACTTGAGTTTCTGTTGTTTTTGAACTTGAGGTTGTGGAAATTGTTAAACCTTAGAATCAGGTGTTGGTTGAAATTGAGTTTGTGGTTTTTGGTAGACCTGAATTTGTGTCGTGTTTGAACTTGAGTTGCGTGTTTGGTTAACTTGACTTTGTGTGTTTTTTGAACTTGAGTTTCTGTTTGTTTTTGAACTTGAGGTTGTGGAAATTGTTAAACTCGAGAATCAGGTGTTGGTTGAACTTGAGTTAGTCTGTTTGTTGAACTTCAGTTTTTTGTCGTGTTTGAACTTGAGTTTGTGGTGTTTTTGAACTTGAGTTTTAGTGTTTGTTGAACTTGAGTTTCTGTTGTGTTTAAACTAGAGTTGCGTGGTTGGTGAACTTGAGTTTGTGTGTTTTTTTAACTTGAGTTTCTGTTGTTTTTGAACTTGAGGTTGTGGAAATTGTTAAACCTTAGAATCAGGTGTTGGTTGAAATTGAGTTTGTGGTTTTTGGTAGACCTGAATTTGTGTCGTGTTTGAACTTGAGTTGCGTGTTTGGTTAACTTGACTTTGTGTGTTTTTTGAACTTGAGTTTCTGTTTGTTTTTGAACTTGAGGTTGTGGAAATTGTTAAACTCGAGAATCAGGTGTTGGTTGAACTTGAGTTAGTCTGTTTGTTGAACTTGAGTTTTTTGTCGTGTTTGAACTTGAGTTTGTGGTGTTTTTGAACTTGAGTTTTAGTGTTTGTTGAACTTGAGTTTCTGTTGTGTTTAAACTAGAGTTGCGTGGTTGGTGAACTTGAGTTTGTGTGTTTTTTGAACATGAGTTTCTGTTGTTTTTGAACTTGAGGTTGTGGAAATGGTTAAACTTGAGAATCAGGTGTTGGTTGAACTTGAGTTGCGTGTTTGTTGAACTTGAGTTTGTGCCGTGTTTGAACTGGAGTTTGTGTCGTTTTTGAACTTGAGTTTGTGTGTTTGTTGAACTTGAGTTTGTGTTGTGTTTGAACTGGAGTTTGTGTCGTGTTTGAACTTGAGTTTGTTTCGTGTTTGGTGAACTTGAGATTGTGTGATTATTGAACTTGAGTTTCTTTTTTTTTAACTTGAGGTTGTGGAAAAGGTTAAACTTGAGAATCAGGTTTTGGTTGAACTTGAGTTGCGTGTTTGGTGAACTTGAGTTTGTATTGTCTTTGAACTAAAGTTTTTGGTGTTTTTGAACTTGAGTTTGTGTGTTTGTTGAACTTGAGTTTGTGTTTTTTTTAACTTTAGTTTGTGGTGTTTTTGAACTTGACTTTGTTTCGTTTTTGAACTTGAGTTTGTGGCATTTGTTGAACTTGACTTTGTGTTGTGATTGTACTTTAGTTTTTGGTGTTTTTGAACTTGAGTTTGTGTTGTTTTTGAATTGAGTTTGTGGTGTTTTTGAACTTGAATTTGGGTATTTGGTGAACATGAGTTTGTGTGTTTTTTGAACTTGAGTTTCTGTTTTTTTTTAACTTGAAGTTGTGGAAATTGTTAAACCTTAGAATCAGGTGTTGGTTGAACTTGAGTTTGTGTGTTTCTTGAACTTGAGTTTGTGTCGTGTTTGAACTTGAGTTTGCGGTGATTTTGAACAAGAGATTGTGTTGTGTTTTAACTTCAGTTTGTGGTGTTTTTTGAACCTGAGGTTGTGGTGTTTTTGAACTTGAGTTTGTGGTGTTTTGTACTTGAGTTTGTGTTATTTTTCAACTTGAGGTTGTGGAACTTGTTAAACTTGAGAATCAGGTGTTGATTGAATTTGAGTATTCTTTTTTTTAATTTGAGTTTGTGTCGTGTTTGAGCTCGAGTTTGTGGTGTTTTTGAATTTGAGTTTGCGTGTTTGTTAAACTTGAGTTTGTGTTTTTTTTAACTTGAGTTTGTTGTTTCTGAACTTGAGTTTGTGGCAATTGTTTAACTTGAGTTTGACATTTGTTGAACTTGGGTTTGTGGTTTTTGTTGAACTTGAGTTTGTGGTGTTTTTGAACTTGAGGTTGTGGAATTTGTTAAACTTGAGAATTGGGTATTGGTTGAAATTGAGTTTGTGTGTTTGTTGAACTTGAGTTTGTGTCGTGTTTGAACTTGAATTTATGGTTTTTTTGAACTTGAGTTTGAGGTGTTTTTGAACTTGAGGTTGTTAGAAATTGTTAAACTTGAAAATTTTGTATTGGTTGAACTTGAGTTTGTGTGTTTGTTGAACTTGAGTTTGTGTCGTGTTTGAACTTCGGTTTGTGGAGTTTTTTGAGCCTGAGGTTGTGATGTTTTTGAACTTGAGTTTGTGTTGCTTTTGAACTTTAGGTTGTGGCAATTTCTAAAATTGAGATTTGGGTGTTGGTTGAACTTAAAAGTTTGTCATTTGTTGAACTTGAGTTTGTGGTTTTTGTTGAACTTGAGTTTGTGTCGTGTTTGAACTTGAGGTTGTGGTGTTTTTGAGCTCGAGTATTTGTGATTGTTGAACTTAAGTTTTTGGTGTGTTTGAACTTGAGTTTGTGTTTTTTTTAAACTTGAGGTTGTGGTTTTTTGAACTTCAGTTTGTGGAAATTGTTAAACTTGAGGATTGGGTGTTGGTTGAACTTGAGTTTGTGGTGTTTGTTGAACTTGAGTTTGTGTCGTGTTTGAACATGAGTTTGTGGTGTTTTTGAACTTGAGTTTTTGGTGTTCGTTGAACTTGAGTTTGTGTCGTGTTTGAACTTGAGTTTGTGGCGTTTTTGAACTTTAGGTTGTTGCAATTGTGAAACTTGAGATTTCGGTGTTGGTTGAACTTAAAATTTTGACATTTGTTGAACTTGAGTTTGTGGTGTTTGTTGAACTTTTGTTTGTGTCGTATTTGAACTTGAGATTTGGTTGTTGGTTGAACTTGAGTTTGTGTCGTGTTTGAACTTGAGTTTGTGGCGTGTTTGAACTTGAGGTTGTTGCAATTGTTAAATTGAGATTTTGGTGTTGGTTGAACTTAAAACTTTGACATTTGTTGAACTTGAGTTTGAGCTGTTTGTTTAACTTTAGTTTGTGTCGTTTTTGAACTTGAGTTTGTGGTGTTTTTGAACTTGAGTTTGTGGAAATTGTTAAACTTGAGAATCGGGTGTTGGTTCAACTTGGGTTTCTGTTGTTTTTGAACTTGAGGTTGTGGAAATTGTTAAACTTGAGAATCAGGTGTTGGTTGAACTTGATTTTGTGTGTTTGTTGAACTTGGGTTTGTGTCATGTTTGAACTTGAGTTTGTGGTATTTTTGAAATTGAGTTTGTGTGTTTGTTGATCTTGAGGTTATGGAAATTGTTAAACCCAAAAATTGGGTATTGGTTGAACTTGAGTTTGTGTTGTTTTTGAACTTGAGTTTGTGTAGTGTTTGAACTTGAGTTTGTGGTGTTTTTTGAGCTTGAGGTTGTGGTGTTTTTGAGCTTGAGTTTGTGGCGTGTTTGAACTTGAGGTTGTGGAAAAACGTAAACTTTTTCCAGATTTGGGTGTTTTTGAACTTGAGGTTTCTTGTTTGTTTAACTTGAGTTTGTGTGTTTTTTGAACTTGAGTTTGTTGTTTCTGAACTTGAGGTTTTGGCAATTGTTGAACTTGAGTCTGTGGTTTTTAGTGAACTTTAGTTGGTTGCAATTGTTGAACATGAGTTTATGGCGTTTGTTGAACTTGAGTTTGTGACGTGGATGAACTTGAGTTTGTGTTATTTTTGAACTTGAGGTTGTGGCAATTTCTAAAATTGAGAATTTGGTGTTGGTTGAACTTAAAAGTTTGACATTTGTTGCACTTGAGTGTGGTTTTTGTTGAACTTGAGTTTGTGTCGTGTTTGAACTTGAGGTTGTGGTGTTTTTGAACTTGAGGTTTCTTGTTTGTTTAACTTGAGTTCGTTTGTTTTTTGAACTTGAGTTTGTTGTTTCTGAACTTGAGGTTTTGGCAATTGTTGAACTTGAGTCTGTGGTTTTTAGTGAACTTTAGTTGGTTGCAATTGTTGAACATGAGTTTATGGCGTTTGTTGAACTTGAGTTTGTGACGTGGATGAACTTGAGTTTGTGTTATTTTTGAACTTGAGGTTGTGGCAATTTCTAAAATTGAGAATTGGGTGTTGGTTGAACTTAAAAGTTTGACATTTGTTGAACTTGAGTGTGGTTTTTGTTGAACTTGAGTTTGTGTCGTTTTTGAGCTTGAGGTTGTGGTGTTTTTAAACTTGAGTTTGCGTGTTTGTTTAACTTGAGTTTGTGTGTTTTTTTAACTTGAGTTTATTGTTTCTGAACTTGAGGTTTTGGCAATTGTTGAACTTGAGTCTGTTGTTTTTAGATAACTTTAGTTGGTGGCAATTGTTGAACTTGAGTTTGTGGCATTTGTTAAACTTGAGTTTGTGACGTGTTTAAACATGATTTTGTGGTGTTTTTGAACTTGAGTTTGTGGCGTTTTTGAACTTGAGTTCGTGGTGTTTGTGGAATTTGAGTTTGTGTCGTGTTTGAACTTGAGGTTGTGGTGTTTTTGAACTCGAGTTTTTGTGTTTGTTGAACTTCAGTTTGTGTCGTGTTTGAACTTGAGTTTGTGGTGTTTTTTGAACTTGAGGTTGTGGTGTTTTTGACTTGAGTTCGTGGCGTGTTTGAACTTGAGGTTGTTGCAATTGTTAAACTTGAGATTTGGGTGTTAGTTGAACTCCAGCTTGTGTTGTGTTTGAACTTGAGGTTGTGGTATTTTTGAATTGAGTTTGTGGCGTGTTTGAACTTGAGATTGTGGCGTGTTTGAACTTGAGTTTGTGTTATTTTTGAACTTGAGGTTGTGGCAATTTCTAAAATTGAGAATTGGGTGTTGGTTGAACTTAAAAGTTTGACATTTGTTGTACTTGAGTGTGGTTTTTGTTGAACTTGAGTTTGTGTCGTGTTTGAACTTAAGGTTGTGGTGTTTTTGAACTCGAGTTTTTGTGTTTGTTGAACTTCAGTTTTTGGCGTGTTTGAACTTGAGTTTGTGGTTTTTTTAACTTGAGGTTGTGGTTTTTTGAACTTCAGTTTGTGGAAATTTTTAAACTTGAGGATTGGGTGGTGGTTGAACTTGAGTTTGTGGTGTTTTTGAACTTGAGGTTGTGGTGTTTTTGACTTGAGTTCGTGGCGTGTTTGAACTTGAGGTTGTTGCAATTGTTAAACTTGAGATTTGGGTGTTGGTTGAACTTAAAACTTTGCCATTTGTTGAACTTGAGTTTGTGGTGTATGTTGAACTCCTGCTTGTGTTGTGTTTGAACTTGAGGTTGTGGTATTTTTGAATTGAGTTTGTGGAGGTTTTTGAACTTGAGTTTGTGGCGTGTTTGAACTTGAGATTGTGGCGTGTTTGAACTTGAGTTTGTGGTGTTTTTTGAACTTGAGGTTGTGAAAATTGTTAAAACTTGAGAATCAGGTGTTGGTTGAACTTGAGTTTGTGGTTTTTGTTGAACTTGATTTTGTGCTTTGATTGAACTTTAGTTTGTTTTTTTTTTACTTGAGTTTGTGTTGTTTTTGAACTTGAGGTTGTGGAAATTGTTAAAACTTGAGAATCAGGTGTTGGTTGAACTTGAGTTTGTGGTTTTTGTTGAACTTGATTTTGTGCTTTGATTGAACTTTAGTTTGTTTTTTTTTTACTTGAGTTTGTGTTGTTTTTGAACTTGAGGTTGTGGAAATTGTAAAAACTTGAGAATCAGGTGTTGGTTGAACTTGAGTTTGTGGTTTTTGTTGAACTTGAGTTTGTGTGTTTTTTTAACTTGAGTATGTTGTTTCTGAACTTGAGGTTTTGGCAATTGTTGAACTTGATAATTGGGTATTGGTTGAACTTGAGTTTGTGTGTTTGGTTAACTTGAGTTTGTGTCGTGTTTGAACTTCAGTTTGTGGTGTTTTTGAACTTGAGTTTGTGGTGTTTGTTGAACTTGAGTTTGTGTCGTGTTTGAACTTCAGTTTGTGGTGTTTTTTGAACTTGAGGTTGTGTGTTTGTTGAACTTGAGTTTGTGTCGTGTTTGAACTTCAGTTTGTGGTGTTTTTTGAACTTGAGGTTGTGGTGTTTTTGAACTTGAGTTTGTGGTGTTTTTGAACTTGAGGTTTTGGCAATTGTTGAACTTGATAATTGGGTATTGGTTGAACTTGAGTTTGTGAGTTTGTTGAACTTGAGTTTGTGTCGTGTTTGAACTTCAGTTTGTGGTGTTTTTTGAACTTGAGGTTCTGGTGTTTTTGAACTTGAGTTTGTGGTGTTTTTGAACTTGAGGTTGTGGCAATTGTTGAACTTGAGTGTGTGACGTGTTTGAACTTGATTTTGTGGTGTTTTTGAACTCGAGTTTGTGTTGTTTTTGAACTTGAGTTTGTGGTTTTTGTTGAACTTGAGTTTGTGTCGTGTTTGAACTTGAGGTTGTGGTGTTTTTGAACTCGAGTTTTTGTGTTTGTTGAACTTCAGTTTGTGTCGTGTTTGAACTTAAGTTTGTGGTGTTTTTTGAACTTGAGGTTGTGGTGTTTTTGAACTTGAGTTAGTGGCGGTTTTTGAACTTGAGGTTGTTGCAATTGTTGAACTTGAAATAAAAACCCAAATATTAACTCAAATATATATTTTTTCTTTTTACATTTTTTTTGGTGTAACCAACTCCAAAAGGTCTTAAACATGTTCCTAAAAAGGTTTTGGACAGTGATTTTAACCCTCACGCCAAATACCTTAAACCTTACCCTAGCCCCATAACCTAATACCCGGGTATTACCTTCAGGAAGCCCAAAAACCGCAAATATTTCTTTTTCATTTTTCGTTTTTTTTGGTCTAACTAACACCAAAAGGTTGGAAAAGAGGTCCTACAAAGGTTTTGGACAGTGATTTTAACCCTCATGCCAAAAACCTTAAACCTTACTATAGCCCCATAACCTAATACCCGGGTATTACCTTCAGAAGCCCGAAAACCCCAAATATATTTTTTTTATTTTTCGTTAGTTTTTGCTCTAACTAACACCAAAAGGTTGGAAAAGAGGTCCTACAAAGGTTTTGGACAGTGATTTTAACCCTCACGCCAAATACCTTAAACCTTACCCTAGCCCCATAACCTAATACCCGGGTATTACCTTCAGGAAGCCTGAACACCCCAAATATTTTTTTTTCATTTATCTTTCTTTTTTTGTCTAACTAACTCCAAAAGGTTGGAAAAGACTTCCTACAAAAGACTAACTCCAAAAGGTTGGAAAAGACTTCCTATAAAGGTAATACAAAGTATTACCTTCAGGAAGCCCGAACACCCAAAAAAACTTTTTTTTCATTTTACATTTTTTTTGGTGTAACCAACTCCAAAAGGTCTGAAACATGTTCCTAAAAAAGTTTTTGGACAGTGATTTTAACCCTTACGCCAAAAACCTTAAACCTTACCCTAGCCCCATAACCTAATACCCAGGTCTTACCTTCAGGAAGCCCAAACACCCCAAATATTTTTTTTTCATTTATCTTTTTTTTTTTGTCTAACTAACTCCAAAAGGTTGGAAAAGACTTCCTACAAAAGACTAACTCCAAAAGGTTGGAAAAGACTTCCTACAAAGGTAATAGAAAGTATTACCTTCAGGAAGCCCGAACACCCAAAAAAAAATTTTTTTCATTTTACATTTTTTTTGGTGTAACCAACTCCAAAAGGTCTGAAACATGTTCCTAAAAAGGTTTTGGACAGTGATTTTAACCCTAACGCCAAAAACCTTAAACCTTACCCTAGCCCCATAACCTAATACCCGGGTATTACCTTCAGGAAGCCCGAACACCCCAAATATTTTTTTTTCATCTATCTTTTTTTTTTTGTCTAACTAACTCCAAAAGGTTGGAAAAGACTTCCTACAAAAGACTAACTCCAAAAGGTTGGAAAAGACTTCCTACAAAGGTTTTGGACAGTGATTTTAACCCTCACGCCAAAAACCTTAAACCTTACCCTAGCCCAAAAACCTAACACCTTCAGGAAACCCGAACACCCCAAATATTTTTTTTTCTTTTTCTTTTTTTTTCGTCTAACTAACACCAAAAGGTTGGAAAAGAGGTCCTACAAAGGTTTTGGACAGTGATTTTAACCCTCACGCCAAATACCTTAAACCTTACCCTAGCCCCATAACCTAATACCCGGGTATTACCTTCAGGAAGCCCGAACACCCCAAATATTTTTTTTTCATTTATCTTTCTTTTTTTGTCTAACTAACTCCAAAAGGTTGGAAAAGACTTCCTACAAAAGACTAACTCCAAAAGGTTGGAAAAGACTTCCTATAAAGGTAATACAAAGTATTACCTTCAGGAAGCCCGAACACCCAAAAAAATTTTTTTTTCATTTTACATTTTTTTTGGTGTAACCAACTCCAAAAGGTCTGAAACATGTTCCTAAAAAGGTTTTGGACAGTGATTTTAACCCTTACGCCAAAAACCTTAAACCTTACCCTAGCCCCATAACCTAATACCCGGGTATTACCTTCAGGAAGCCCGAACACCCCAAATATTTTTTTTCATTCATCTTTTTTTTTTGTCTAACTAACTCCATAAGGTTGGAAAAGACTTCCTACAAAAGACTAACTACAAAAGGTTGGAAAAGACTTCCTACAAAGGTAATACAATGTATTACCTTCAGGAAGCCCGAACACCCCCAAAATTTTTTTTTTCATTTTACATTTTTTTTGGTGTAACCATCTCCAAAAGGTCTGAAACATGTTCCTAAAAAGGTTTTGGACAGTGATTTTAACCCTAACGCCAAAAACCTTAAACCTTACCCTAGCCCCATAACCTAATACCCGGGTATTACCTTCAGGAAGCCCGAACACCCCAAATATTTTTTTTTCATTTATCTTTTTTTTTTTGTCTAACTAACTCCAAAAGGTTGGAAAAGACTTCCTACAAAAGACTAACTCCAAAAGGTTGGAAAAGACTTCCTACAAAGGTTTTGGACAGTGATTTTAACCCTCACGCCAAAAACCTTAAACCTTAACCTAGCCCCATAACCTAATACCTTCAGGAAGCCCGAACACCCCAAATATATATTTTTTCTTTTTCTTTTTTTTATGGTCAAACTAGCTCCAAAAGGTCTGAAACATGTTCCTTAAAAAATATTGGACAGTGATTTTAACCCTTACGCCAAAAACCTTAAACCTTATCCTAGCCCCATAACCTAATACTTAAACCTGAAGGGTATTACCTTCAGGAAGCCCGAACACCCCAAATATATTTTTTTTTACATTTTTTTTGGTGTAACCAACTCCAAAAGGTATGAATCTTGTTCCTAAAAAGGTTTTGGACAGTGATTTTAACCCTAACGCCAAAAACCTTAAACCTTATCCTAGCCCCATAACCTAATACTTAAACCTGAAGGGTATTACCTTCAGGAAGCTTGAACACCCCAAATATTTTTTTTTCATTTTACATTTTTTTTTGGTGTTACCAACTCCGAAAAGTCTGAAACATGTTCCTAAAAAGGTTTTGGAAAGTGATTTTAACCCTAACGCCAAAAACCTTAAACCTTACCCTAGCCCCATAACCTCATACTTAAACCTGAAGGGTATTACCTTCAGGAAGCCCGAACACCCCAAATATATTTTTTTTTACATTTTTTTTGGTGTAACCAACTCCAAAAGGTCTGAATCTTGTTCCTAAAAAGGTTTTGGACAGTGATTTTAACCCTAACGCCAAAAACCTTAAACCTTACCCTAGCCCCAAAACCTAATACCCGGGTATTACCTTCAGGAAGCTTGAACACCCCAAATATTTTTTTTTCATTTTACTTTTTTTTTTGGTGTTACCAACTCCGAAAGGTCTGAAACATGTTCCTAAAAAGGTTTTGGACAGTGATTTTAACTCTAACGCCAAAAACCTTAAACCTTACCCTAGCCCCATAACCTCATACTTAAACCTGAAGGGTATTACCTTCAGGAAGCCCGAACACCCCAAATATATTTTTTTTCATTTTACATTTTTTTTGGTGTAACCAACTCCAAAAGGTCTGAATCTTGTTCCTTAAAAGGTTTTGGACAGTGATTTTAACCCTAACACCAAAAACCTTAAACCTTACCCTAGCCCCATAACCTAATACCCGGGTATTACTTTCAGGAAGCCCGAACACCCCAAATTTTTTTTTCTCTTTTTCTTTTTTTTTTTTTGTCTAACTAACTCCCAAATGTCTGAAACATGTTCCTTAAAAAATATTGGACAGTGATTTTAACCCTAACGCCAAAAACCTTAAACCTAACCCTAGCCCCAAAACCTAATACCCGGGTATTACCTTCAGGAAGCCCGAAAACCCCAAATATTTTTTTTCATTTTTCGTTTTTTTTTTTGGTCTAACTAACTCCAAAAGGTTGGAAAATAGTTCCTACAAAGGTTTTGGACAGTGATTTTAACCCTAACGCCAAAAACCTTAAACCTTACTATAGCCCCATAACCTAAAACCCGGGTACTACCTTCAGGAAGCTTGAACACCCCAAATATTTTTTTTTCATTTTACATTTTTTTTTGGTGTAACCAACTCCAAAAGGTCTGAAACATGTTCCTAAAAAGGTATTGGACAGTGATTTTAACCCTAACGCCAAAAACCTTAAACCTTACCCTAGCCCCATAACCTAATACCTGGGTATTTCCTTCAGGAAGCCCGAAAACCCCAAATATTTTTTTTTATTTTTCGTTTTTTTTTTTGGTCTAACTAACTCCAAAAGGTTGGAAAATAGTTCCTACAAAGGTTTTGGACAGTGATTTTAACCCTAACGCCAAAAACCTTAAACCTTACTATAGCCCCATAACCTAAAACCCGGGTACTACCTTCAGGAAGCTTGAACACCCCAAATATTTTTTTTTCATTTTACATTTTTTTTTGGTGTAACCAACTCCAAAAGGTCTGAAACATGTTCCTAAAAAGGTATTGGACAGTGATTTTAACCCTAACGCCAAAAACCTTAAACCTTACCCTAGCCCCATAACCTAATACCTGGGTATTTCCTTCAGGAAGCCCGAAGACCCCAAATATATTTTTTTCTTTTTTCTTTTTTTGGTCTAACTAACTCCAAAAGGTTGGAAAAGACTTCCTACAAAGGTTTTGGACAGTGATTTTAACCCTCACGCCAAAAACCTTAAACCTTAACCTAGCCCCATAACCTAATACCTTCAGGAAGCCCGAACACCCCAAATATATATTTTTTCTTTTTCTTTTTTTTTTGGTCAAACTAGCTCCAAAATGTCTGAAACATGTTCCTTAAAAAATATTGGACAGTGATTTTAACCCTTACGCCAAAAACCTTAAACCTTACCCTAGCCCCATAACCTAATACTTAAACCTGAAGGGTATTACCTTCAGGAAGCCCGAACACCCCAAATATTTTTTTTTTTCATTTTACATTTTTTTTGGTGTAACCAACTCCAAAAGGTCTGAATCTTGTTCCCTTAAAAGGTTTTGGACAGTGATTTTAACCCTAACGCCAAAAACCTTAAACCTTACCCTAGCCCCATAACCTAATACCTGGGTATTTCCTTCAGGAAGCCCGAAGACCCCAAATATATTTTTTTCTTTTTTCTTTTTTTGGTCTAACTAACTCCAAAAGGTTGGAAAAGAGTTCCTACAAAGGTTTTGGACAGTGACTTTAACCCTAACACCAAAAACCTTAAACCTAACCCTAGCCCCAAAACCTAATACCCGGGTATTACCTTCAGGAAGCCCGAACACCCCAAATATTTTTTTTTTTATTTTACTTTTTTTTTTTTGGTGTAACCAACTCCAACAGGTCTTAAACATGTTCCTAAAAAGGTTTTGGACACTGATTTTAACTCTAACGCCAAAAACCTTAAACCTTACCCTAGCCCCATAACCTAATACTTAAACCTGAAGGGTATTACCTTCAGGAAGCCCGAACACCCCAAATATTTTTTTTTTCATTTTACATTTTTTTTGGTGTAACCAACTCCAAAAGGTCTGAAACATGTTCCCAAAAAGGTTTTGGACAGTGATTTTAACCCTAACGCCAAAAACCTTAAACCTTAACCTAGCCCCATAACCTAATACCTTCAGGAAGCCCGAACACCCCAAATATATATTTTTTTTTTTCTTTTTTTTTTTTTTCAAACTAGCTCCAAAAGGTCTGAAACATGTTCCTTAAAAAATATTGGACAGTGATTTTAACCCTTACGCCAAAAACCTTAAACCTTATCCTAGCCCCATAACCTAATACTTAAACCTGAAGGGTATTACCTTCAGGAAGCCCGAACACCCCAAATATTTTTTTTTTTCATTTTACATTTTTTTTGGTGTAACCAACTCCAAAAGGTCTGAATCTTGTTCCCTTAAAAGGTTTTGGACAGTGATTTTAACCCTAACGCCAAAAACCTTAAACCTTACCCTAGCCCCATAACCTAATACCCGGGTATTACCTTCAGGAAGCTTGAACACCCCAAATATTTTTTTTTCATTTTACATTTTTTTTTTGTCGAACTAACTCCAAAAGGTTGGAAAAGACTTCCTACAAAGGTTTTGGACAGTGATTTTAACCCTCACGCCAAAAACCTTAAACCTTAACCTAGCCCCATAACCTAATACCCGGGTATTACCTTCAGGAAGCCCGAACACCCCAAATATATATTTTTTCTTTTTCTTTTTTTTTTTGGTCAAACTAGCTCCAAAAGGTCTGAAACATGTTCCTTAAAAAATATTGGACAGTGATTTTAACCCTTACGCCAAAAACCTTAAACCTAATCCTAGCCCCATAACCTAATACTTAAACCTGAAGGGTATTACCTTCAGGAAGCCCGAACACCCCAAATATTTTTTTTTTTCATTTTACATTTTTTTTGGTGTAACCAACTCCAAAAGGTCTGAATCTTGTTCCTTAAAAGGTTTTGGACAGTGATTTTAACCCTAACGCCAAAAACCTTAAACCTTACCCTAGCCCCATAACCTAATACCCGGGTATTACCTTCAGGAAGCTTGAACACCCCAAATATTTTTTTTTCATTTTACATTTTTTTTGGTGTTACCAACTCCGAAAGGTCTGAAACATGTTCCTAAAAAGGTTTTGGACAGTGATTTTAACCCTAACGCCAAAAACCTTAAACCTTACCCTAGCCCCATAACCTCATACTTAAACCTGAAGGGTATTACCTTCAGGAAGCCCGAACACCCCAAATATTTTTTTTTTCATTTTACATTTTTTTTGGTGTAACCAACTCCAAAAGGTCTGAATCTTGTTCCTTAAAATGTTTTGGACAGTGATTTTAACCCTAACGCCAAAAACCTTAAACCTTATTACCTTCAGGAAGCCCAAAGACCCCAAATATATATATTTTTTCTTTCTTCTTTTTTTTTGGTCTAACTAACTCTCAAATGTCTGAAACATGTTCCTTAAAAAATATTGGACAGTGATTTTACCCCTAACGCCAAAAACCTTAAACCTAACCCTAGCCCCATAACCTAATACCCGGGTATTACCTTCAGGAAGCCCGAACACCCCAAATATATATTTTTTCTTTTTCTTTTTTTTTTGGTCAAACTAGCTCCAAAAGGTCTGAAACATGTTCCTTAAAAAATATTGGACAGTGATTTTAACCCTTACGCCAAAAACCTTAAACCTAATCCTAGCCCCATAACCTAATACTTAAACCTGAAGGGTATTACCTTCAGGAAGCCCGAACACCCCAAATATTTTTTTTTTCATTTTACATTTTTTTTGGTGTAACCAACTCCAAAAGGTCTGAATCTTGTTCCTTAAAAGGTTTTGGACAGTGATTTTAACCCTAACGCCAAAAACCTTAAACCTTACCCTAGCCCCAAAACCTAATACCCGGGTATTACCTTCAGGAAGCTTGAACACCCCAAATATTTTTTTTTTCATTTTGCATTTTTTTTTGGTGTTACCAACTCCGAAAGGTCTGAATCATGTTCCTAAAAAGGTTTTGGACAGTGATTTTAACCCTAACGCCAAAAACCTTAAACCTTACCCTAGCCCCATAACCTCATACTTAAACCTGAAGGGTATTACCTTCAGGAAGCTTGAACACCCCAAATATTTTTTTTTTCATTTTACATTTTTTTTTGGTGTAACCAACTCCAACAGGTCTTAAACATGTTCCTAAAAAGGTTTTGGACACTGATTTTAACCCTAACGCCAAAAACCTTAAACCTTACCCTAGCCCCATAACCTAATACCCGGGTATTA